TAAGTCATTGAAGAGAGGCCCATGTGAGGCAATTGATCACACTAATCTTATATATAAGTGTGAAAGTTTATTGTGTTTTTCCGTCAACCACGCTGAAACTACTGAACGCATTTTGGTGAAATTTGGTATACAGGCAGGGTATGGGCTGACTTAGGTGATTGGATATTTATATTGGACTTTTTACCCCGATTAAATGCACCCTTGGGATGAAACAGGAATACGCGGGCATAAGCTTATGACTAATGTAATGTCTTGTATTTGGTCTTGTGACTAATATAATGGAAAATACTTAGTTTAAAGAAGGCAGCCCTTTATTTCTGTACACAGCCTTGAAAAAAAATAGGCATGAATTTATGTAGATTTATGATCTCCGTCACACACACTTACTTTATAAAAAATCCTGCAGTAATGTCCATCTACTGGCAAGGCCTTATGTTATGGCGTAATTTAGCACTCACCCAAGTGGCATTTCGCGCCAATGCTTGAATCCTCCTTGTTATTTACTTATTTTACATTTAAATTAGATACTTAAGTTAGGTAAATAACATGTTGTAAACGCACGCTTGTTTATTGTCAACGTGTGTTGAAATTATAATCGTTTTATTATGATTATTCACCTACATGGTGGAGTCAATTTTGGTGTTGTGAAACTTGTACATAGCTAAGTATCTAAACCACGACAGTTTTATATTATGTATATGCCTCGTTGGCCGAGTGGCCGCAAGTGCAATGCCGGGTATATGGCAATAGGCTGACTCTTATTACATGGGACTCATAACATAAATAGTTAAAAGAGGGTGTTACATTGTATAATGTGCACCTCTGTCTACCCCTTCGGAGATAAAAGGCGTGATGTTATATTATATACACATTATAAAAATGTACCCGTAGGGTTTTTTATGGCATAAGCCGGTAAACGAGCAGACGGATTACCTGATGGTAAGCAATCGATGTCGCCCATAGACACCTGGAACACCAGAGGCGTTACAAGTGCGTTACCTGCCTTTTGGGGATTAGGAGTTTGAGGATTGTTGGGGTTTCATGGGATGTGGGGGGGGGGAATTGGGCCTTCGGTAAACTCACTCAGACGACGAAATACAACGCAAGGCCATGGTCCGGCTTCGTGTCGAAGCATGACTCTCTTACACTTAAAAGGGTGCTATCTGCTTTGCTAATGTTTCTACTAATAACCTCATGTTTCTACTTATAAAATAGTACCCTGGCGCCCTCTTTCTATATAGTTGCTAAAAAATTTCGCTTTGATGGTATTATAGGAACGCTCTTGGCGCCTTCTAGCCAGCACCTGGCTCCCTTATGTATTTAGACTCGCATTACGACGAGCTATTAGACTATAGGTTAAATTGCTGACGGATAAGAGTTATTCTTTATTCCGCTAGATCACTTGAACAATCTTAAATAAATACCAAGTAAGTATTTCTAAATGCCAGCCCCTAGATCCACCTTTTAACGAGTTACGATCGAAAGTTCTATTAATAAAGAACAAACAAGAGACAATTTATTATGCACATTAATTGCTAGATCTGCAATCTTAAAGCCTCTGATCATTAATAACAAATTCAAATCGCGAGCCGTTCTCAAGCTTAACTATCTTAGAACAAATTGGATCTGTTTAATCAACACTATAAAATTACCAATAAAAATAATTAACAGTCTTGCCGTCGTTTAATTTCTTCGCGGGCTTTTTAAATGTGTTGACTTTTTTATTTTTTATGACGCTTGATCACGTTCGGATACGAAAACCAAACAATACCACGGACGCACTCATTATAAAACGCTCGTACAGCCGTACCTCTAGGCTGAATATAAATAACGCATTCAAAATCCCCTGTTCTCTGTCCGTTAATTACTCCAGCCAGTTCGAAACAGTCAATTATTATTTGAAATATAAACATAGAAACGCCATGGTACCAGTTCTTACTACTTATTCTTAATTACTTTTAACTAAGACGTAACTCACTCGTTGAAAGTAGGTATTTAGTAAACTTATCTTTTAACTAGGGACATTGATGTATTGCTGGGTGAAACGGAGTATATTTGTTTTTTTATATAATGGCCGCCCGCCGGCAATGGGCAAGGCTCATTCAGCATGAGGGAAGTTTTACTGCAATGTTGGGAATATTTAAATAAAGTGACAGTTATTATTTATGGTGTGTTTGGTTCGGTTATAAATTTTGTAGCAATAAATAGAAGGTGTTTCGAATGCTGATATTCATTAAACACAATACAGGATCCGGCTCCAATAAATAATTGTAACTTTTCATAAGATTATTCACAAAAACCATGAAATAAAACAGGTAGATAGGTATTACCTATAAAAGAATAAGCGGCGCGGAAAACGTAAATAAACAATAAAACTTTGTGTAATTGACACTAATTGTTCCGTGGAAAACGTTATAAAGCACCTACAACTAATATTTCAACATTTTTATTGTGTTACAAAAATAAAAAAAATGTTTTTATTAGTTAATTTCGGGGAGCTTAAGTTTTTGTGGTTGGCAACTCGAGCGTGGCCGTTCGAGCGAACCATGTAATTAGGTGGTTATAAAAACTTTAGGTAATTAATTGTGTTGCTTTGTGTTGTTAGTGTGCGTTAAATTGATATTTATTGTTGACATTTCGTGCCGTGAGCGAGGCTCGTATTTAATTGTTGTTAATTCGTACACACGACGTAAAATGGCGGTCGTTCTCTGGCGGTATGTATTTGTAATTAAAAAAAATGTACAAAAGATACTGGATTCCTATCACAGCTTGTGGAAACAATAATTCTGTCTAATTATTTGCCTATCTTTTGTAATGAGATAAGCTTCAACAATTTTATTACTTAGGTACTGAAATGAAAATAAATGAGGTTTAGTCATGAATCCTGTTCAGTACGATGTTAATTTATTTATCTTTATTTATGAGTTTAATTAAGTATCTAAGTTATTATTTTTACTATTAATTAGCCTAGTTCATGTTCAACATTTTTTCTTCCTCCGCAAATAAAAAAACAACACTTACTTATCTACACGTAACGTATTCTTATTAACATTGTAATGTAGCATTGAGAAAATGACAATATTGCTGTAATGAAAGCTTTTTGACAACTTCATTAGTAATACCTATCGATAAAATTATCAACAGTAACTGTCCCCACACTAGATAATAATAGCGCGGGAAAATAGCCCGCCATCTTTAAAACCTCACTGACCTAAAACATAAAATTATGGTTAGAAAAGCATTTAATTACACGTAAATGTGATCGAAACCAAGTTTAGACGTTGTTATTAAGCTAAATTTGTTTGAATTGCTAATTAATCGTCTCCGAACGACCTCAACGCACGCTATTTGCGAGCCCACAAAATTAATTATGGTAGGTGGACACAATATGGCCGTGATTAACCATTGTTTCCATTTTAAAATGGTGGGGATTAATAATATTGAGCTAATTGTTATTACAGGGTACTTATTGTAATAATATTTTGAGTACAAGGATGATGCTTACCAACTATTGTTTCTAAACTCATTTGGTTTTAGAGCCTTCTAATAGAAACGATAATTGTAAGTACTTACTGCGTAACAATGTGCATAGGTAGGTACGTTATTCAATAAGATTGTAATGATTTTATTCTCTGAACCAACAGCTATTGGTTGATTGACGAGTATGGACAAAATGGCATTGTCTAGCTTTATCGTCAGTAGACATCATGGAGTCGCAATTTTTGTACCTACGTCATATCATTTTGTTGGTAGACAGTGGGCAAATCAATCGGATTATAAACTACAGCTAATATTTTGTCAGTAGATACTAAATCACAAACTGTGGTAAACGTAACGCAACATCAAGCCTTTAATCCCCGAAGGGGTAGGCAGAGGTACAATGTACCACCACCCTCTTTTCACTATTTATGTTATGAGTCCCATGTAATAGGGGGTGAGCCTATTGCCATATACCGGGCACAATTCCAGACTCCGTGCTACTACAGAGATCGTAAAAAAAACCAGTAGTACTTTGTCCGACCCGGGAAACGAACCCGAGACCCCTTATCAGACAGTCGCACTTGCGTCCACTCGGCCAACGAGGCAGTGGTAAAAGTAAAACATTATAAAACACATGACGTAACGCTTTTAAATCAATAAAGGGATAACCAGATGTGCTCATATATCTAGTAGCAGCGCGTAGCCTACCTACTTAAGGAATAGTCCCTCTGTGATTCAAAGAACTAGTAGAGCTTTTCTCTGTATACTTACGTGGGTGACTCGTCATTTTTACTTAGTTCTGTATGTCTCACGATAGTTATTATAACAACATAAAAATTAGTCTTAAACTGTCAAACACCAAGCGGTCACCGGTGACCGCAACCTATTGTTCTATAATTGTGTCTGCAAAACCGGTACTCGACGAGTTAAGTACCTATATTAAGGACATACCTACTGACTAATTTTTTTTTTAATGTCCTTCTGGTAGAAAATATTTAAAAACATTCGTCACGTATTTTTTATTTTCTTGCGGAAATGAATAGTGTCGAAGATATATTGATTTTAAATATCACATGACGTCACTTTTGAGTACGATTTAACTCTAAAATAACGTAGCTACCTCCCACTAATAAACTTTAATTCGTTTTATCTAAGTAATGTTTTCATATAGGTACGACAAAATAAAAAAATACGTGTCTAATATTTTTTCATTACCTAACTGCCTATAATTATTTTTTAATTTTCATACCCTATTATGAGTTTCTGAGTCTTATGTAATAGAAAACAGGTAAGTCTAGCGCTTTGACCTTTAGTCCTGATGACCTTTAGTAAAACCATAAAAAACATTTTCAGAATATTTTGCACAACCCAGGATTAAAACCTTTTACTCGGCAGTCGCAATGCCGTACACTCCACCAACGCAAACACAGTTATTGTTTAAAATGAATTCGTCTATTTGGTTTTAATAAACCTATGTTCACGTATAATAATAATATGTTAACAAAATCGACAAAAAAATTGTCATGTCCAGTAAGTAAACGCGTGTACCATATAAAAAATTCATTGCAGGTGGCGTACTATGTAGGTAAGTCAAACAAGTGAATAAAGAGCTTGACTGTGCAGGCCTACTGCCTACATCTGGGGTATTTCATAACTGGGTGTATAGAATTATATACTAACCTAGCCAGAGACCAAGACTATGGCTTTTTAGCAGCTAAGCTCGGGAAAAGCATGAATACGTCGAATTAAGAATTAACGACATTATTATTTATTTATCTTTATATCACACAGGTGAGTGTCTTATAATCTATGCCCCACAAAAACGTTGGAATAGTTAGTACGTACATACATGTACCTACCTAGAGTTAAAATAGATTCTATGGTATTATGACTCCTCTGGTGTTGCGGGTGTCCATGAACGGCGCTGATCGCTAACCATCAGGTGATCCGTCTGCTCGTTTGCCTCCTGTTTGTAAGTAGGTACTTTATCAATATTAATCATCAGGAAATATCTGCAAATCAGATAAATTGTGTTTAATTTTCTAAATCTAACTGATAAGGTTCTATGTAAAACTATTTACTATCGTGAAACAAGTACCTTCTTATACAGGAATCAACTATCTTATCTATAACAAAGACTTCCTACAAAAAGTAAATAAACTTATCTATCAGAAACGAAATAATTAGTGTTTTAATCAAATGAACAATACAACTTTCATCCAAATTACTAAACGAAAAATAAATCACTCATAATTTTCTGAACGTTAACGTTATGTCATTGTCAAAACGATGTTATTGACAGTGACGTGTTGTGTGTACTATATTGTCAATGTCATCAGTCATGTCATTATTTCAGTCAGTCAGTCAGTACTACTGCAATAGCAAAACAGTGGAGTTGAAAGAACGAGTGATTTATTAATTTAATAATAATTTCCACGTAAAAATAATGTGCTTCTATAATAAACCTGTAAATATTAGACAGGAAGCATAAATGAATCGACGAATTATCTTTATGGGATACAGCTTATCCAGCTCAAAATGTCTCGGTATTTGTTTGATGTTGACTTTTGTAATGGGGTGTTATTTGGCTGCTTTACCTATTCAATACGGTAAGATCTATTCGTAAATATATTCTACATTATATTAACATACAATTTTGACCAACAATTGATTCAAAACTACTTAAATTTCCACAGAACGAGAGGCCCTACCTAACCCAGTACGACAACGAATAACATCTTTAGAACCGTCGAAAAAACGTCTTGCAGTGCTCGTGCCTTTCCGTGATCGCTTTGAAGAACTCTTAGAATTCGTACCACACATGTACAGCTTCTTGAACCGCCAAAAAATACCATTTCACATATTTATAGTGCAGCAAAAAGACAACAATCGTTTTAACAGAGCTTCGTTAATTAATGTTGGGTTTATCTACTCTAAAAAGGACTATGACTACTTGGCAATGCATGATGTGGACTTATTGCCAATGAATGATAACTTAAAGTATGATTATCCTGCGGCAGGACCGATGCACATATCGTCTCCGAAGACGCACCCGAAATATCACTATGATACATTTATTGGAGGCATTTTGTTAGTGACCAGAGAACAGTATGAGTTAGTCAATGGGATGTCTAACAACTATTGGGGGTGGGGATTGGAAGATGACGAATTTTACGTGAGATTAAAAGACGCAAACTTGACTGTGATGAGACCGAGCAATATTAGTACTGGAATTGATAATACTTTTAAGTAAGTCCTTGTTTATTTTTTTATTCTATTTTAAAAGGCTTCATTCACACTCAATGTACAAGATTGGCGTAATGCCATGGGCATTCTCCTCCAGCGGGACCTTTGAGTGATGAAAAGGCAAAAACAATGGTTGGTGCAAGAAGCAAGCATATCCAAGATCTATGACTAAGAGAAATACATAAGATCTTGTAATAATTTTCTATATAAATGTTGTGTGATTTGAATAATTTTATATTTCCTACACTTAACTAACAAATAATGATAATGATTCTTTTGATTAACTTTATTCCATCACTACCAAAGATAAAAATTATTTATGAGATCTTTATCTCTTAAGGACAATACCTATTTATATTGTATTTCAATAAACATACTGTATTTTTATTTTAAAATGTGTGAACATGAGAACCTTCACAATGTCCGAAAGAAAAACAAAAGAAGTAATTGTGTTCTGTTACACAAATATCCACCTTAACACTGGTGGGAACTGATAGTTTTCGATTATACATCTGAATGTAACTTGCACATGTTTTAACAAATTGTTTTATCTTTCCAGACATATCCATGACAAAACATATAGGAAACGTGATATGCGGAAATGTTACAACCAACGCGAGGTAACCCGTCGCCGTGATCGTGAAACTGGCATCCATGACGTGTCATACAAGTTGCACAATACACACACCGTAGCCGTCGACGGGTTAAACGTCACAGTTTTGAATGTAGAACTCATTTGTGATAAAAACAAAACTCCATGGTGTCAGTGTCCGGAACCTATAAAGGCAGCTAAGAAAAATTGAATTTGAAAATGGAACTGAGGAATGGTTGTTTTTTTTTATCATAGACTAAAAATACTCGTTATTGAGAAGTTTTAATAGGAAATTCTCTTTGGCATGTGGTCATAAGAACAACTGTTGAGAACAGGAGAAGAATGCAGGTTCAGATCCTATTCTCTGATTCTGAAATTACACTTATTGTAGGGTGTGCACTGCGCATTTAATAAATTTGCAATAATAACGATCAATTATTAATGTACTTAGGGCTCCCCTGCATAAAAGTAGGATTACTTAAGTGTGTATGGCTACACTTACTATTGCAATAGTAAAATTCTTGGTTGTGTAAAAGTATTGAATGTCTCTTTAATTAATTTAAACTATTTATATCAAAATATTGTATTTAATTAAAATAATCCTCTATTGTAATAAATACCTGTATTAGACAAGTAATGTAAAGACATCAACGCACATCAATCTACCCCAGTAAGTTCTTTCATGCATTTTCAACCTTGATCTATTTGCAATAAGGGTGAAAATGTGATAAAGAATTTTAGGTTTGTCACTTTACATTAGATTTATTTAAAGAAATGCCTAAAAGCAAATAAGTGCGTCTCTGCCTTCCCCTGCAGGGTAAGGAGTTATGTTATATTTTGTTTGTCTTGTCTTATTTATATTCATATAATATCGATATAAGACTGTATTTAGTTGTTATTATAAACTTATTATACTCTAAACCTAGTCTAGTAACTCAAGTCGCCATTATACCCACTACATTTATATAGAATCATAACAAAAGGTTTTTCATGTTTTCGGTTTAATTTTAGGCATTTAACATATCCCGGAATTATTTTTCTACAATATCTATCGATATACTAAACTAGAAAACCTGATCATTCCACTTAAATACTCAAATCACAAAAATGAAGACAATGGTCTTACGGCTCGCTCGACAAGTTTCGTACGAAAGCGGAGCCCTCAAAAATGAATTCGCCGAACAATATTCAACACGATGAACTATGTACAATATCCGTTGAATTATTATTTTTTAGCATAGTAAGTATATCAAAAGGTTGTTCTAAATTTGTTTGTCCATGTATGTGACCAAAATATTATATTAGATAATGATGTATTAACTATTCTACGTGTATCATCGTTTTTGTAATATTAAAATTCGTTATTTTTGTATTTGGTGTATTTTTATTATTTTCACGCCTGCACCTCTTGCAGCTCTGCCTACCCCTTCAGGTATAAAAGGCGTGATGTTATGTTATGTTTATTTTTTAAAGGGAGTTTGCCTTTATCTCCACGTAGTACGCGCGTAACTGTACCCTTTGGGGCAGTAGCAAATTAATTGTTTAAGTCCCCATTCTCAATATATAAAAAAAGAAGTTCAGAAGAAAATCTGTGCATGGAGGCCCCTTCCAGCTGAGAGCCCGTGGCATTTTGCCAACTTGCACCTTTTTGTTACGCCACTGTCTCTACGCTTTGCATAGGTGCGGGTTTTTTTTAAAGGGGGAAAATCATCGAATGACTGCTCCCGCCTGGGTGAGGCGGGAGGGAGTGTCAGACTCTTACTGACTAAAAACCACCCCGCTCCTTCTCCTGCACGTCGAGCCGGAGCCCCGGTTACCCGTTAGGTTCTCCGCGACTCCGAATCGGCCCATAATTAAGGGTTGGAGATCGCAGTGTAAAAGCTTTGGATGTATCAGTGTTGCTACCCTGTCGATTGCTCTTGTCGAGTCTTCAAACCCACTCAAAAGCATTTATTTCAATTAAACCATAATTTAGTACTTTTGGAACATCAACAAATATAAAATAAATAATAGTCTGTCCGTCAGTGAAGCTAGGCGGTCGTTCCAAAATGTAGATTCGAGTGGAGAAGAACGAACAAGAAACTCCCTTCGTTACTCTTTTAAAAAATCTATCCCACAGGACGAGTAGAGTAGGTGTTTTAAAATAAAACAAGAAACATAAATAAATAGAAGTTTATTTTTGAGAAGCAATATTTGTATTGTTACAACATGTTACAGAGCATACTATCAGATTATCGTGTTTTTAAGCACTCGCTACGAGGCGGCTAACTATTATCTTGATTTTAACTGTTTTAGTTATCATGTAGGTAACTATGTAATATAGTGATAATTATAGATTAAACAACTTTTTAATAGACTAAACAGGAATGATTCATTTAAAAAAAAAGTAGCTTTTGTTTATGTTTTTTTCTAAAATTAATTATATAATAATAATTGTTAAGTACCAATTTTAGCTGAGCACTGGCCTTTTTGCGCCGTGTACAGTTTTGATTGATTTATTTTTTAACTATTTTTCATGTTTTTTATTTTCATTTTTGCAACGTTGCAAATAGACTGTTTTTCTTTCTTTCTCAAATTACAAACATGGGTAAATGATTATGAACGTATTTTATAACGTAAATAAATATCATATGACATAATTGGCATAAAAATATAGAACATATACATATATCATATTTTAATAACTTAAATGTTTTCATCAGTAAATTAATAAGCTAGGTACAGATTTACTGATTAATATAAGTTTATTCACGATTTTTTCAATTATACAACTTACGTTTTACGCAAATAAATGTCTATCTTTATCTATATGATTTTAAACACTTTAAACTGATATTGACTAGAACGGTGTGCGTGTGATATCTAGAAAACTTAAATATATTACAATGGTTAACATTTTTAAATTCCAAGTCACAGAGAAAACCTATCAAAAATAGGAAAAATAATACATATATGTATAAAAAAATATCCTCGTAATAAAAACAATACATGTTTGTATAACATACATATTTTTAAAATAGACCTATTTAGATTTATATTATATTTATACATCAGTTTAATATCTTTATATAAATCACTTTAAAAAACTGTCTATAGAGATACAAATTAAAAAAAATATTTAATCAACACACAGTTTCAAATAGAATAAAAGTAAAAAAAAACAATTCAGATCCCTAAAATTAAGTACACATTTTATATGCATAACTATAAATAAAATTGTAAGTATTACATAAAATTAAGTTTTACTAAGGGCCGATTTTTCCAACGCCAGATAAATTATAACTGAGGAATCACGTTGAATATTTGACAAATCTTCCATACTAAAAACTGTCAAATGTCAATTTTATTCTATAGTTAAGAATTAACAGAAAAATCGGCCATAAAAGATTCTCTGTTTTAACGTCTTGGAATTTAATGAAGTACTAAATGCAACACTGAAGGAAAATACTTATCCTTACAAAGATTACTCACAAATGAGAATTTTACCATCAAAACAAAATAAATATAAAATAAACTCCAGTACCATTTCCTCGTTGTTCATTACTTATCTTAACAAGCACAACATTAACTTCCAAAAAACAATTTGTAGGATTTATTATAACAAAACAATTTACGACGTGAAATATAAACCAAAAGATATTCGTAACTAACACATTAAGAATAAACACTACTTATAATTACCAATAAACCCGCATTTCATGCAAAATTAAGTAAAGTTTTCATAACAAAAAAGAAAAATTTCAAACCATACAAAATGCTACACATAAATCTACAACTATAAAATAATCTAGGATTGGTACCTAAAGCTTTAAGAGATGCCACATTTGACGTCATTGAATCTTTGAATAGGTAGGCAGATGCGCTGGCGACACAATGTAAAACTCACTAGCGCCATCTACCGATCACAAAAACGAAACACCCTTATTTGGTTAATCGTTCTTTAAAATGAAATGACGCTTTATGTGAAAACTCTAAAGGCTGAACACTAAAACATTATCTAATTTTAAACTGTGCACGTTTGCGAAAACCGCGAAAAATGGATTTCGTATCGGAAGCCAAAATCCATTTAGAGTCGCTTATGGAGTAACTTTATTATGTTTCTTTAATTTTAGAACTGTCTGACAGCAGACAGTCCAACTTTTAAGGACATCGTAAAATTAAATAATGTTCGAGTGTTTAGACGAGACTTTGCAACTCTGTAAAAAGCTATATTCACTTAATATTAAGGTCTAAAATTATATCTAATTTCACTTTGAGAACACCAATGCAGGGAAGTGCTCAAACTTCAGAGTATAGACAGCACAAATAACTATCCTTAACTGTCAGTTTTTACTTAATACATTTTGAACTTTATTGTAATAGAGTAAGGCTGAAATTGAATTAGTTATCATGTTAAGAGTCACCCAACACCCACAAACTAAGAGAAATAAGGTTCAAAATGTTTTAAATAATTTTGGCAGATACGAAGTTATATGTGCTCAAGTTTGTACCCTAAAGTAATAACGGCCTAACGCAAGCCAAGTTCTTTTTCAAAAAGAACTTTAAGCGCGGCTACATAGAGTTCAAAATTGCAGAGCTGCAGAATCAATATTGACCTATAAGGCTTAAGATTAATTTCTTATACAGCATGTAGAAGAAAAATGTTTAATTTTTAACAGATCGTCTAAGTAAAAGTTCAAGTACATTGTGGACATTCTGTACTATGAAATTTTCAACTCTATTACAAAAGCTTTTAAATTGAAAATTGATATCACTGTAAAATATCATATTTTTCCTTTACATGCTGTATAAATACAGAAGCGTAGTACATTCAGCGGGAAAGCTAAATCAATGCTGAAAAATAGCAAATGGCTGTTTGAATCTTCATGGAAAACATGCCAAAGACGCAAAGGCACAACTGTAAAGAAAAAAAATTGAAAACTTTTTAATTGATAAATTAAAAGATCATAATCAAAACCACGAGCTACTTGAACTTTGCTACGTTAAACTAAAGTTCAGTTTCCTAGCAAGCAGATAATTCGCGCCATTGCATTGACGCAGTATTCTGTATTATGTAAAAATTATTATTTTACAGGAACTTCCTTCACAGATAATTGAATTATGCCATCAAACAATCACGAGAAAAATTGGAGTTTTTTCAAATCCACACAATATTGAATAAAAGAAATTAAACTCAGAAATGAGAAGGTAATAAAAAATATCTCGTGCACATTTTCCATAAAAAAGTTTCAAACTAAACCAGTAAAGTGTCCACTAGTTGATACAAAAACATTCACTTTATATCATAGACAAACCGGCAAGCTTTTTAGAACAATATTTTTTGCACTTACAACATTGAGCGATTTAAACGTAACATTTTATTATAACATTGTATACATTCTCCAAAAATATTTAATTTTGCCACAACTTGTATCACATTCCATTTCCACCAAATGATATATTTTTTAAGTGTTTAATATAACAATTACATATTAAAAATTGGTGCTTTTGTGATGTCACTCGCGATTTAGTGTGAAATTATTATTTTGATTTTACAAGTTTAATATTGTGGTTATAAAACCACAGCTACTCGGAAAAGGTTTTATTCTTTCGAAGATTCCGACATAACACATTCAAACATTTTCCGTAACAATAATCATAAACGAACATCAAACTAGTGGACACGCGAAGCACTAAGTAGAATAAACTTATAATTAGGAATAGGGTATGCGCGCTCCGCCCCTCCCAGCTACGAACTCGCTACGAACTTGCTACGAACTCGGTACGGTCCCGCTACAAACTCGCTACGAACTCGATACAGTCCCGCTACGAACTCGCTACGTCCCTGCTACGGTGACGCCCCATTACGTAGTCGTCTCGTCGCGGCGCGCGCAACACGTCAGCTACAACGGGCATCCGCCTCCCTACACAACACAACACCCAAGTTAGGAGAAAAATAAAAGGGGCGGGGTCAAACAATACATAATTTTGGATCTAGGAATGAAAAACAAACGTCTATTCACAGTTGGCAAAATAAGCTAATTATTATCAGCTGGTAACATGTAACATACATTTTATGTCTGCCTTCATTTTTAATTAGACAAAGAATCAAAAGTCAGCAGAAAAAAATAAGTTCGTCATTAATTACCGTACCCGGTTTTGTACAATGCTTAGTACAGACTTGTCCATTAGTTTTAGACGCCCTCCAAATAGGTAGAGTGACGATATCTACAAAGTGAATGGCAGTGTTTTAGATGTAAAGAGTCGAAGATCGGTCTCATGATCGAACTGATAGACCATAAGACAGTTTTTATTTTTTAATTGCAAAGAATGTAGTCTAGAGTTTCTTTATTTCGTTTTTCATTTCTAGGTCTCGGGAGGCAAGACAAAGGTACGAAACAATGCATGATTAGAAATAAATTCATCTATTTAGGGAATCAATACACAATAAGAGACAAACATTACAAAATACTAAGACAAGCCACGACATCAAAACATGCTTTCATAATAACTATGACAGAAAATCTATAAGGAATACAATCTAACTAAGATTTAATATCTTCAATCTCACGCAACATAATTAAGAAACAATACAATGTCCCTATATACATTAAAACATACAGCTTTGTAATTAAAATTATTTTGTTTTTATAGCAACTTCAGATTTAAAATTCACCTCTTTAAATATCTTATAATAAAACTAAGGGAACGTGGTAATATTCAAATAGGAGAAGTCAAATAAACTAATTATTCGATGACTATATATAATAATTTATACAAATACACCATGTATAATGGCATTAACATAACCTCTAATTTAACATTGTTTAACACTACATATTTTTAAACTACATCAACAAACTATTTTTAACCATTTAAATCTATTTAATACTGTTAACATTTAATAAATTTTAAAGACATTTAATTAATATTAATAATAATTTAACGTTTATCTACATTTGAAATTATTTTATTATTTAATTTCATGCAATAAAATAGTAGAAACAGCGACAATAATTTTTAATAAATTGGCACTATTTAAAATCCTATTTTATTATTTAAAATTATTTATAAATAAGTATAAAGATTTAAAAATGTCGACAGTAATATCAGTAACGTATAATTCTCGCCTGTTTGGGCATAAAATGAATACAAAGAATTTCAAGAAGTAGATATAGTGGTCGCAAAAAAATTGTATTGTATTGTCATATTTTGAGTCTGTAGGTTAATATAGAGATATAATTTAGTTATGTAGCAATTTCGTAACACATTCTTTAGTATATTTTGATTGCCAACTGTTTCATATCATTGATCAGCACTTGGATTTAATGAAATATATATAGTCAGGTAAAAAACAACAATTTGTATTTATAAGTCAATATTTTCGTATAATATATAAGACTAGCTACTTGCGCGCGGTTTCACACGGTCTGCTCAGCTCCTATTGGTCGTAGCGTGATGTTTTATAGCCTATAGCCATCCTCGATAAATGCGCTATCCAACACAAAACGAATTATTCAATTCAGATTTGTAGATACGGAGATTAGCGCGTTCAAACAAACAAACAAAAAAACAAACTCTTCCGCTTTATATATTAGTATAAGATATAAGATAGTATCAATTCAAGGTAGGTAAGTAAAATGTATAATATAATAAAAAGTTCCTTAAAGCCTTTTAAGTTTTGATAAAAAGCAGTATAAAGGTAATTGCACAAGTTACAGGGCAGAGGCCACGGTTTTCACTAAAGAACAATAAATTGTTTATCAAAAAACAATTTTAAATTCAATTAATTAATACTCAATTTCGTTTAAAGCGTGTAGCATTTGGTTACACGAATAAATATGAGCTTTATATAATACTGTTAAGGTTTTAATTCGTTTAAATTGAAGATTTATTTAGAATTCCAAAGTATTCTATAAAAAGGTTAAGTAAATTCGCAGGTTATAAATTTAAGTTCATAATACGTGCACACCAGCACATTAAAATTGAATTTCAACTTTATAATTTAGTTATAAGGTTGATAATCTGTTACATGCTGACATGAATACATAGATATATATATATAAAGAATATATATGACAAGTATCTTACAAATAGAATTCTCTCTTGATAAGGGTAATTAGTGTTTTAATAGCAAATGTATATATGTATAGATCGAAAAATGGTACTAACGTCTAAACGAAGGAAGGATAAATAGTTATTACCTCATTTGGCACCCAAAAACAAATCGTATATTTGTAAATCTTACTCCAGCTATCTATTCAAATCTCCTCGACTAGTTTCAAGACACACTGGAACCCACAAACATAAGCTACGTCTCTAAACGATTTTTGTTGTGGTACACAACTTTGTGGACAAAATGTCGACCAATTCTTCGGGTAAGTATTAGGTAAGAAAACGCGCAAATAACAAGTTTGGACTAGATTTTAGTAAAAAATCTAGGCTATATCTATTTATCCTTCCTCTTCTAATTTTACACTAATATGCATAGCAATAGTTATATATATTAGACATACTAAAACAGCAATATCATTATAAAAAGAGTTTTACATATAATAGTCACTATATACAAAGGGTTTTTTCAAAAGGGTCCTTTGTCCATTAATATTCTAATCAAAAATGTATAATGAGTTGATTAGTATAAGGTTCAAATTTGATTATACACCTTTTGAGAGTTTTGTCAAAGATTTAGATGAAACCTGAATTATAAATAGACAAATAAATTCATACTTTGGAAGACAATATTGAAATATAACTTAAAAGACTCGATTTTCGTAGAATTTCAAGCTATGTAGAATCTTTACAATTCCGTTATAAATTGACTGCATTATGAATTTAATGATTTTTATTTCTTTTTTGTGCGAAATAACGAATGTATGTACTAAAGTTGAGATTTCACTGAAAAGTTCTTTGTTATCATAATATAACATCACGCCTTTTTATCCCCGAAGAAGTAGGCAGATGTGCTCATTACGGCACTTAATGACACTACAGAGTCACACCCACTTTTCACTATTTATGTTATGTGTAGAGTCTCATGTAAGCCTATTGCCAGGCACAATTCCAGACGCTGTGCTACCAGTGGCATCTTTTTAAAACCCAGTTGTACATTTTGCCTAAGCCGGGAATCGAACCTGAGACCCCTTGTCTGACCTTGACAGTCGCACTTGCGACCATTCGGCCAACTAGGCCGTCTAGTTGTTTGTTACCGTTTAAATAACAAATATTACGTTATTTAATCATCTAACGTGAAGTAAAATAAAAATATATAACGTGTAGAATACCTAGAAAAACAAAACACACCTAATGTGTGTTCAATTACATTCAAAGATCTAATCCAAACTTCACAAGATCTCTAGTGCTATCTCCTCCAATGAAACCCCACCTTAAGTCCAAAAAAACTCAACCTACACAATAGCCTCAGTATCACTAATCACATGAATCCCATGTTTAGTGAGAATCAACCTAACAATATCATTACAGCTCCTAGTCTTATAATTCCTTCCAGAACTTTCTTTAATCTTTATACTTTTCATTTTATCACACAACTTACTGACTTCAGACTTACTCTTCTTCATTTCATCGGGCTTCAACTTCCTTATAGTGGACGAACATCGTTTTTTCGTCGGTTCAACTTCTGCTTTACCTACATTACCCTCACTAACTCGCCGTTTGTAAATATCGAAGTCCAAATCTTTGCTTAAATAACTGTCGAGGGAGCTATATGTAGTGTCTAAAGTTACCTTGTCTAACTTATGCTCGGTCGCATCGCTGACTATTTTCACTGCTTTTCCAGGCACGTAGGTCGATGGGACTTTGTCTATGTATGCCATTTTGGGCTTTAACGGCTCACATATAGGGCTTACTGAGTCTGTATGAGAGTTTGGCATTAAAAAGTTTGCCTTTCGTGGTCGTTTGACTGTGATGGTTTCGTCAACTATGGATGGTTTGTCTCGGATTGATATGAGAATGTTTTTGAAGCTGGTTTCTTCGGGTGACGTCATTGTAACGTCCTGTGGTGAACGTTTGTCGTAGCTAGCGATTAGTTCGTTAAGGATTGTATACTCACTGTTCCAGAGGCAGCGTGTAAAAGGAATTTTGGGTTAGTATTTTTAAAGGTAATGTATAGAAAAATATGTTATGTATGTTTCTATGTTAGAAAAATTGTAGATTTTTTGTGTATTTTGAACACAAAAGACACGAAAACGATAGTAAATATCAATTTATTTACATAAAAAAAAATCTATAAAAACAAATACACAAAAATATAAATTCAGCTAATTATTACATATTCAGTACTCTTAGTTATTAAGATTTCTTATCACAGATAATATAAAAAAATAATTTAGAACTATTATCTTGCGAGGTATACAAAACTAAACTTTAAATTCATATCTTCAAAGTCGAGTTCTAATAACATTAAATTGAACACTTTGATGGTGATTTTAAGGAGTCTTTTTCAGAGTTTTTCGCACTGGAAATAAAAACGAAAATTGCTGAATAATTGCATGTTAACGTATCAACAGAAAATAGCGAGTATTCCCTAAAACAAGTTAATAATTAGTCTATTTTCGATAGAATTTTGTACTTATATAAATTATGGATTCCGAGTTTACTTCTGCTCTGGTGTTTCTAATCTTCTGATATGGTGATTTAGACACACCATGATATAGAATCATAATACTTTAACTCGTTGAGTACCGTCATTATAGACACAATTAAAGAACAATAGGTTGCGGTCACCGGTGTCCTCGCGGTGCTTGACAGTTTAACCTATAGAAAGAAGAATCTGTTCTAGAATAATACCAACCTACACATATTCTCTTATCAATCCTTTATTACAAATATGTATCTCCAACAAATAAAAAAAATAGTTCTCACGTATGTTCCCGAGTCGCGCCGTACAACGAGTGTTGTCGTACATAGGCCAGTACTCCGTCGTCCGTCAGATACTTGGCGCTCTCCCCTCGACTCACCAGCCGACGGATCTGCGTCGAACTAACTTCATTGGCTATATAGTTCGTTACTAGGATCACGTTTTTCTGTAAATAATTAAAGATTCATTAATTTAAATATATTTATTAACATGACATAACATGACGCCTTTTTATCCACCGGCAGATTGGTCGTAAGTGCGACTGAATCAACTGAAAAATCTCAGTAGTAGCACGGAGTCTGGAATTGTGTCCGATATATGGCAATAGGCTCACACTCTATTACATGGGACTCAAAACATAAATAGTGAAAAGTGGGTGTTACATTGTACAGTGGCATTAACTGCCATAATGTCTACCTCTGCCTACCCCTTCGGGGATAAAAGCGGTGATGTTATGTTGTAAGATAACAGGTAAATACAAACTAGTCTTCCCCCTTTGCGCAAAAACACGTATGTTTCATTACGTAGTTGTAACCTACTTTAAAATAAAACTTTATCATTCTAATCTAAAAAAAACATTAGCTCTAGACATGCATAATCGGTCAAGCATGAGTCGAAGAGATTTACTTTATCAAATACACTATGTTATCACTAATTCATTCATGTTTTTGATATAATAATTAGTTTATGTAGATTAGAAATATGCTTATCGATAAATACTAAATAACCATTTCGTATTTACTTATACTAATGTCGGCATAGGACATACGCCACTCAACGTGCCTAAATATAGTTCTGTGACTATTATTTCTTTTTAATATGACAGAATTTTTTTTAAGTAGCTACACTTTTAATATTATTTTTATTTTGACGTTCAAAAGTGCTATTCTGGCCTAATTGAAATAAATGATTTTGACTTTGACTTTGACTTTGAAGGGGGGAAAATCATCGAATGACTTCTCCCGCCTGGGTGAGGCGGATTTGTAATCCACATACACTTCACACCCAGACTTGCAACAACAATTTGTGGATCACAAAAAACAATGTTTCAGATCAGACAACTGGTTACCCTATGTAACAAATTATTTTGTTACCGTATGTAACATAACCAACAATCCTCAAAATCCTAATCCCAAAAGGCCGGTAACGCACTTTTTTTTAATGGGACAAGACCGCCACAACCTCCCAAAACCGCTACAACTCCTGTAAGCCAGGATCTACAGTAGCTACAATCATGTAAACACCGGAACATTGAAGTCCGGCGCGTCCCAGGGACATGAATAACTGTTTTGGTTCCCGCAACGAAGTGAATCAGAAGATATTATAAGAGATTTTTTTTTGCTGGCGCAGTTGTAACGCCTCTGGTGTTTCAGGAGTCCATGGGCGGTGCCGATTGCTTATCATCAGGTGATCTGTGCTCGTTTGCCGGCTTATCCCATGAAAAATAGAAAAAATAAAAGGTAAATATGATACTTACCCTATGTTTGTAGAGTATATCCGACTCGTATATGAACTTGCCGGGATCAGAGCCGGCCCGGGTCACCACCACAAGTCCGTGGCGACCCACTATCGTCTCCAACTGGAATTCATAATTCATAATTACTTAATTATTATTCAATAGAAAACTCTACCTTAATGTCTTTAAAATAAAGATGACTGTCACAAGAAGTGTGGTTTTTTCAAAAAAGATAAGATCTTCCTAGGAATATTGGAATTACATAGTTTGCTATTTTACTAGGGGATAGTCAGGTAATATTTATTTTTATTGCATTCTTGAATTTCAATTGGTTTTTTGTTGGACTGATCGTTGCTGTGAAAGTCACTATCCGCCGTCTGTCTGTCCCTATGTAAGCTTAGATCCAGGGACTGAATAACCGAAAAATTACGATACCTTTAAATTGCGGTATGACGTCATACCGTTAAATAACGGTTACCGCTTAATTTCGGTATCGAAATTTAATTTCGGTACCGCTATTTTTGGGTATGAAATGAAAACCGGTATATTTCGGTACCAGTATCCTAACCTGAATAATAAAGGTATGAGAGAGATATTGACCGCGCTAGATCATCTATCCTATTTCATCGCATTGCATTAGTTTGGCTTGTTCTCTGGACACAATCACATGCGGCTCGCGTTATAATATTTTATGGTGTGCTGAGTTGAATTGAGATAACAATTATTAACAATGTCAAATAACGCACGAAAACTTATAATAACAGAAATAAGTAAGTATATGTACTTATTACTACTTATGTAATCTGATAATAACATACTTCTAGTTGACACGTAACGAGTACTAAGTACTAGTATCTTACCTACTCGTTGTCGACGCGTACGGCACGCGGCGGCGATCTAACGCCAGTAGACACGCTCACACACAGACGCTGCGTGCGTACTATTTTATTACACTTTTTATGTTATTACACTATAGCTCATTACTATAGTTTATTATAACGTAGTGTGTTATAATATTTTTTTTACCTTATAGGTATATATTTTCACGACATTTTTGTCAAAAATTGGTTAAATGCCTAAAGTTTTTTTATTTCTACCTCGTCGGGCGCGGATTTCCAGAATTCTTGTTTTGATTCAAAGGGTATACTCCCGAGATGGTCCTTTTCATTGAGGTCAGGATCTGATAATAGAAGCCTAGGAAAACCGAGGAGAACTTTCGAAAATTGTAGGGGCGTGTAATATGTGTATTGTTATTCAATTAGGATTTTTAAACTCTACCCCAGGAGGGTACCAGCTCCGCTGGAGAATCCCTCCCTGAGCATGATTGCTCAGGCAGCCCCGTCGTATCTTGGCAAATTCCCAACGGCGACGTGCTCTGCCACACGTCACGTTTTGTCTCCCCGTGAGTAGGCAGAAAGCGGGCTGAGGATTGCCTTTTTGCTACACTGAATGTGTGTGGAGGCGTAGAAGGCAAGATGTTAGAAATATGTGAGATGATGAATACAAGAAAGATTGATTTGTTAGGGATGAGCGAGACGAAAAGAAAGGGTTGTATGACTACCACACATGGCCAATATATTGCTTACTGGTCTGGTGTTGCAAGTTCCCAGAGAGGCAGCCAGGGCGTGGGGGTCATACTATCTGAAAGGATGAATGAATGTGTGAAAGAGTATAAATGTGTGAGTCCCAGGATACTTTAGATCCGCCTTAAAATTGGCTTGACCAAATTATTTGTCGTCTGTGCTTATGCCCCGGACATCTCAAAGCCAATTGGGGTGAGGGAAGTATTCTGGGATAACTTGAGAGATGTTCTTAATGAATGTAAAGAGAATGAAAGAATAATTATGCTTGGAGATTTTAATGGATGGGTTGGAGTGGCACGCGATGGGTACGATAGAGTATTAGGGCGATTTGGAGACGAACGAGTGAACGAGAATGGTGTATGTCTTCTGGATATATGTGTAGAAAAGGAACTTTTTGTGACCAACACAACATTTGGTCACAAGAAGATACATATGTATACATGGCAGAGGCATACAGAAAGAAGTACGATTGATTTTGTGATTGTTGATGAACGCCTGAGGACAAAACTGAAGGATACAAGGGTTTACCGTGGCACGAATGTCGGAAGCGACCACTTCCTAGTAATTACTAGAATAGCTGGACTGGCAATGAAGTGGAGACATCGGCCACGGGTAAGGTTGCTTGGAACCGAGAGAGTGAGAGTTGAACGGTTGAGAGAAGAGGCAGCTAGGGACCAGTACAGGAAACTATTAAATGAAAGGTTTAGGGAGCTAATGAAAGGTTACGAAAGGAATATAGAAGAATTTTGGAAGGAATTTAAGGATGGAGTGATCGCAGTAGCTACTCAAGTATGTGGGGTAAGCAAGAAAAATAACACTGGAAGCAAGAGGAATGAATGGTGGGATGATGAAGTAAAAGAGGTGATAGAGCAAAAGAAGAAAGCATGGCTCGACTTATTAGCCTCAAAGGCAAATAGAAGAGTGCTAGAAAGTATGATAGAAAAGTACATTAGTCTCAAAAAGAGAGCAAAAGCGGTAGTTAACAAGAAGAAAAATGAATGCAAGGAAAAGTTTGAAAGGAATTTTTCGCGGAACTTTCGAGCCAACGCTAAACTATTCTGGCATTTAGTTAGAAAGGCCAGAGGCAAAGTGGGGGACTCGAAAGTAAGTACGATAAGGGATATAAATGAGTGTCATTGAAGAAAGTAAGGATGTTTTAAAGCAGTGGAAGGAATACTTCGAGAATTTATTTGAAAGGAGTGATTTGAAAGAAGAGGAAGTAAACGATGAAAATGAAAGTGCTAATGTGGGAGAAATAAATATGGATGAAATTGTGAGTGCCATTAAGAGTTTGAAAGTAGGTAAAGCAGCGGGATGTGATAGGATAACTACTGAAATGCTAACAGAGGGTGGAGGTGTAATTGCAAGCCTGGTGTATCTAATTTTTAATAAGTATTGGCGGTGCGGTCGTGTCCCTGGAGTCTGGGCCAAGGCCGTAATTGTGCCACTGTATAAAGGAAAAGGATCACAGCAGGAGTGCAAAAATTATCGCGGTATAAGCCTCCTAAGCGTAGTAGGAAAGTTGTATGCCAAGGTATTGATCGAAAGAGTGATGGATGTAACTGAGCGTAAAATCTGGGATGTGCAAGCGGGATTTCGAAAGGGAATGGGATCAAGAAATGTACGGATCAAGTCTTTTCGTTACGGTTCATTTCAGAGAAAGTGTTATCAAAGCACCAAAAGGTATTTTGTGCCTTTATAGACCTAGAAAAGGCTTATGACAGAGTGGTGAGGGATGAATTGTGGTCAACTCTGTCCATGTATGGGGTGGATAGCCACCTGATTCGGGTACTTAAATCCTTATATAAGGACTCGAGTGCCGTTGTCTGAATAAATGGGGACTACACAGAGTGGTTTAAAATTAATCGAGTTGTTAGGCAAGGCTGTGTAGCATCTCTTTGGCTGTTCAACCTATTTATGGACAGCTGTTTGAACGACCTGAAAGTAGGAGAGTCTGGATTAAGGATGAATGACACAGTGATTAAAACATTGTTGTATGCCGACGACCAGTGCTTGTTGCCTCGTCGGCCCAAGAATTACAACAAATGATCACTGCTATGAATGATGCATTTGAAAGGAAAGGTATGAAAGTAAATGTGAACAAGACGAAAGTGTTGGTGATAGAAAGAAATGAGGTGATAACAGAATGTCAGGTAATGATAGGTGATGAAAAAACCCACCGTGGGAGACAGGCGTGAAGTTATGTAAGTATGTATGTACAATTTGAAAAGGGTCTGGAGTCGACCTGATGATGGAGCCGACAGACAGTCAAAGGAACTCCTCAACGGTTTATATTAACTACCTTGTGTTTGGGCTTGATTGATTTGTATTGATGAGAACTTTACACCTAGATGGAGTAGGACTAATCATTGACGGTCTGATGATGAAGAACTGTAATTGTTAAGGGAACTCATCAACGGTTTATAGTAACTACCTTGTGTTTGGGCTTGTATAATTTGTATTATATAATAATTGTAGTTAAAATTCCAAGGTAGGTACCTAATCCTATTCATCTTATGAACATAATATTATATATACCTAGTAAATAATCAAAGTTTAGGTAAGTACCTACCCTAACGAACGATACCCAATGACTGGTTTTATGTAGGTATGTAATATAAGTAAACAAACATTACGATGTTCTTAGGTACACACCTACCTAGGATATCCGAAAGTTTAGATAGGTACGTACCGAATAATAAGATAAATGTTATAGTTAGGTATCTTATAGCTACAAGATAGATAATTATGTACATACCTACCAATTACATTTAGGGTATAGGTTGTATAAGTAGTACCTATATTGCATCTATACTCACTGACCGGTCAAAGTTTACAATGAATGGGTACAATACTTATTTTATTATAGCTAAGCATCCAGTTACTAAATATGTAGAAACATTACTTTCCTTGGAAAATGAAAAAAACGCATGTACTCATTAGTACTTATATCTCAATCCATATACTGCATTTTTACGTTTCCGCCTCATAGTTAATAGTTACACGACTATTATATAGTTATTAGATAGGTACGGTACACACAAATCATACAACGGTAGCGTAGTTTAGTTGCAGCAGTGACACGAATAAACAGGTACACAGGCGCGCGTTTTTCGCTTGCCGCTGCTCCACGCCTCGGAGTGGGGCCCCTCGCACCACACCCCGCACACTCCTAGCTTTACGTCTCGCAACGGTCAAATCTAAGTTTTTCGGTACCGTTATCGCATAAAGGTTAAATACCGGTATAGCTTTAATTTCGGTACACTTATTTTATACCGGTACCGTACCGTTATACCTTAACCGCTTTCAGTCCCTGCTTAGATCTCTAAAACTACGCAACGGATTTTGATGCGTTTTTTTTAATAGATAGAATATAGGCATAATAATGCACCCGTGCGAAACCGGGGCGTACCGCTAGTGCTATATATTTTACTCTATAGCGTGAGTCGAGACGAGGCTGAGATACATTGTCGTTATTTCAAAAGAGTTATTGTAGTTGTGTTGTTCGTCTCGCACTATAAGACTTCAACTTCATACTTCCACCTCGTGTCTGCTCGCGCGATAGTGTAAATGTATAATTATAATATATTATAATTTTGAATAAAAGCTCATGTAGTGTAGATGTCCATTCTACCAGGATGTAGGGAGGTTGACTGTCCAGGCGACACACGTACTTAGGTATCGTCATGAGCTGCTGTTTACATTAAATAAATTAGAAAATTTTAAAGATCAGGTGTAAATTAATATTTGAATCCAACAAGTAGCAGCGGGACAGTCGCCGCGTCATGTGTCGCGGAATGCAGCTCATGAATATGAGCCTCAAGCATAACTTGAAACTAGTCGAGTTCCTCGTCAAATAATAACATGAGTAAACCGAAAATACACATAATAATGAAGTCATTCTGTGTTCCAATTGTTAGCATAAATTACGCCGATATTACCTATATCACAGATTATGACAAGATCTTTTGTAAAACCATGAGTAATTAAAAACATGAATTGGGTATGACATCATAATTATATTTAATCATTTTAATTATTTCCATTGTAATAAGATTAATGAGTTTATTTTCTGATTACCTTTATGACAGGAAGTCAGATACTAAGTTAATGCCCAAAATTAAAGGGTCAGAATCGAACCAAGTAGTATTTGAAGAACCAACTTTAATTTTTTATACTTTTTTATAAAGTATTTTTAGCTAATAAGTACTAGCTATTTTCGCGCAGTTCATCCGCTCTGCTCGGCGCCTATAGATCGTAGCGTGATCTTTTATACTTATAGCCATCCTCGATAATAAAACATCACGCTACGACCAATAGGAGCTGAGCAGAGCGTGTGAAACCGCGCGTAAAAAGCTAGTTAAGTATAAGATTTACACAAATAGTGAAAAGTAATGTTCAAATAATTGTACCAGCGAGCATTGTTATTTTATCATATAGGAAATCAATGCCTCATACCGAAGTCTACCTTCATAGGTCAATAATACGTAGGTAAGGAACTCACATCTTCATCGGACCACAGTCCAGGAGTAGCGAAGGACTCCAAGAGATCAGCTCCACACAACAACTTGACGGTGACTCCATCTTGCGTGTTACCGTTGAACTTCTCCATCAAGTTGTCCGGCTCATCCAAACTGTTGAGGTTTAGTATATCATCTGGTAGCCAAGATGGCGGGTCCGGGTCGTTGACCCCTGTTAGGTAGTTGTTTATTGTGTCCTGGGAACAAAATAATTGTTATTACTACTAGAATTCACATCCTGTAACCTGTATCCAAACTCGTTCACACAAAAGTAGTCCCCAACCGTTGGAAATAACGTCTATAATAAATAAAAATGGACACCAGAGTCCTCTTGACAAATAAATTGGAAGTTAAGGTGTTGACTTGCTGTGAATATTAATAAATATTCACTGCAAACATTAGGCTACGTTTACTCATCTGAGCGCTAACTAGCAATGGTCTCAATAACTAGAATGAAGTCGCTCGAAATCAATGCTGACCATTGATTTTTTTTACGGGACAAGCCTGTCACAACCACCCAAAACCGCTGCAACTCCTATAAGCCAGGATCTACAGTAAATACAACCATAAACAAACTGAAGTCCGGCGCGTCCCAGGGACATGAGTAGCTGTCTTGGTTTCCGCAACGAAGTGAATCAGAAGATATTATAAGAGGATAAGAAAAAAAACGATAGTTTCCACTTCCCTCGGTGAATTACTGCAGGAGACAAATCTGTAACGTATTACTCAGTAGCTGATCATTGCACTAACAGTGTACGGTTACTGTACTGTAGTACAGTCAAGGAAATTACACAATGTGCTTAGTACCCAAGTATCATAGCATGATGCTTAACTTTTTTTTATGGCATGGTAAACGAGAAGACGGATCACCTGATGGTAAGCAATTGGCGTCGCCTATGGACACCTGGAACACCAGAAGCGTTACAAGTGCGTTACAGGGCTTTTAGGGATTAGGAGTGGATTGTTGGGGATTCGAGGATTGGGGAGATTGGGGAAGGCGGGAAGGAGTTGGACCTCCGGTAACGTCACTCACACGACGAAATACAACGTAAGCGTTGCTTTACGTCGGTTTTCTGTGAGGCCGTGGTATCACTCCGGTCGAACCGGCCCATTCGTGACGTAGCATGGCTCTCCCACACTTAAAGACTTACTTATCAAGACTTTTCAATTTAGGTAACTGAAACTAGTCACAGTAATGACTTATGAGTGATTAACGTGAATTCCATTAACTCTTCAAAATCCATTCGTTAAGACGGGCTTATATTAACGTTATCGTACTTTATAGTCTGCTTACTGGTACAACCAATTGTCGCCAGTTATTTTTACTTATAATCTATGCATATGTATAAATTAAATTAAAGTGTCCGTTTGTGATATTCAAATAACCGCTTTCATGCGCATATTATTATGTCTTATTTTGATGAATTTCTATTATATATTTATGTAAGTTGTACCTGTATCTTTATTTTTCATAATCTTTGTTTGTGTGCCATTTGCCAAATAAAAGCTTTTTCTTTTTTTCTTTCTTTCATATGAATATAGGAACATACGACAAATATAATATTTGTTTTTTCTGGTTAATCCCAGAAATGGCTGGACTGATTTTTACAAGACTTTCATTGACAGATAGTTGATGTATTAAGGTACTGCTAATTACTACTGACTGCTTCGTTGGCCGAGTAATCGCAAGTGCGACTGCCAGGCAAGTGGTTTCGGGTTCGATTCCCGGGTCGAGCGGTTTTTTTTTAAATCTCAGTAGTAGCAAGGAATCTGGAAATTTGCCCGGTATATGGCAATAGGCTCACTCCCTATTACATGGGATTGATATAATTAATAGTGAAAAGTGGGTGTTACCTCTGTATGCACCTCTGCCTACCCTTTCGGGAATAAAAGTCGTGATGTTATTTCTTATTACTATCGCCTAAGTAACTACTTAGGCTGTTGCGCGGTCGACATCGCGTATACAGCTAGTAATATAATATTATAAATACGAGTGTCATGTTCATTGCTTTAGATTTCTAGAAAGATACAAACATACAAAAATTTGAAGATAAATAGTAATTAGAAAGTTAGACTGTAACATAATTAAGTAAACCGTTTTACTCTTCAGCGCATGAGTCGCGATTACCACCTAGTCTCCTACCCTTATCAATATAAATATATTTTTTCACATGCGGTCATTCATCCTCATTGCACTATCTCTTACCTACTGTCCGCAGATACAATCGACTGTGGTGTTGGTCAACCACGAAGATAAATTAATTAATTAGAACAAAAAGTCTTTTAGCTGACCTCAACAATAATTATATTTAAATGTAAATATTTATTTTGTTTTCAATTAAGTAAATTACTATTTTATGTTTGACTGTGGGTGACTCACAGTTTTCTATATCGATTTTAAATTTCTTAATTGAAGTAGTCATTGAGTCATAGCCTCATTGCTGAAAAGTAGATAGTTCTATTTTTAAGGGGTAAATCATCGAATGACTTCTCCCGCCTGGGCGAGGCGGGAAGGAGTGTCAGACTCTTACTGACTAAAAACCACCCCGTTCCTACTCCTGCAGTTCGAGCCGGAGCTCAAGCATCCCGTTAAGTACTCCGCGGCTCCGTATTGGCATCAGCCCTATTGGGCCCCATCCGTGGTGATGGCTCCTTGAGGCGCGCGTGGAACGTGTCGCGCCGTACGCTCGGGTCTGATTATGGTCGGGCGGCGAGCTACCAGTGCTCGCCGTCCGTAAAGTAGATAGTGCGAATGTAATCACAAAAGCTGTGGTTCAATCCACATCATAACGCATAATTTTACTGACATCAAAATTCAACATTCTAGATTTGTGCTATTAATAAAAACCGAAAACTTGAACAATGGTTTGCCCAACCCGCAAAACAAGAGTCTACCCAGCAGTCTCTCTTTCTACTATTCACTGTTAGTTAGTTAGTTCTGCTTACCTGATGATACTGCAAAGAGACCCTGGTCCTCGTCCACCCTGTCTGCTGCGTCTCCCATTCTGATATCTTGATCCATGATGATGACCTCAGCGCTAGTTTTAACATTGATATTCTGAAATCAAAATATTTTATTTTCAGCCATGACTATCCTGCATCCGGCCGGATAGTAAATAACGACCGGATAATCCGGATACCGCATAGTAACCGAATATTCGGTGCATCTCTAGTTACCCATTTGGTGCCACAACTCTTCATGTTGTTTGCCGAACAACCCAACTAAGACTGGGCAGCAGCAGTCTCTGATAAACCTATTAAGCCTGAACCAACATAAACTGAACCTATTACGCTATATTCTCCAACATGGCAAACAAATGTGGTGAATCTCGTCTTATGCTGAGGAGGCACATAGTCCTGTATAAATTGTCAGGGATCACATAGTAAACATAAGTCCCATTGTTTAATGATGACAATGGAACTCTCGATCCAACTTGCACCAATTACAATAACAATATTTGTATCTATAGTGCACAATCAATGATTACAATAAACTCATACCAAAACAAACAAGAGATTGCAATGGAGAGCATGTTTATACTTTATTAACCATTTTGTAGGTACAATGACATGATGTGAATATTAAATATTTACTATTTTATTCCTGTCGGGACCGTTGTAGGCATAATAATTAATAATAATAGGTACCTATTAGACTCGGTAATGTCATTAAGATCATAAATGGATCAATGATCTTTATTTAGCATGTCTAGGTCCTCACCTAGCTGTATTGGTACCTATACCAATATAGATTTTGCATGCCTTTATTAAAAGTGTAATGTAATAAGTCGAGCATATCCTTCCTAATCATCTACAGCCCAGGAGAAGAAACACAACAAACTGAGAGGTCTTTTATTAAAGTATGCTAACTATATCTTTCAAGATTGCCTGAAATAGTAACTATTAGTATTACATGGTCTTTTTTATGGAAAAAGCCCGTAAACGAGGGGACGGATCACCTAATGGTGAGCAATCGGCGTCGCCTCTGAAACACCAGAGGCGTTATAAGTGCGTTGCCTGATCTTAGGAATTGGGAATTTGACCAAAAAGCTCCTTAATTATAGGTGTTCAACTTTGAGTGACTATTAATTAACCGACTTCAAAAAAAAGGAGGAGGTTATACGTTCGGCCGGTATGTTGCTTTTTTTTTTGTATGTATGTATGTACGCGCATAACTCTGAGATGCGTGAAGCGATTTGCAAAATACTTGTTTTGTTTGAAAAGGTATACTCCCGAGATGGTCCCATTTCCATGAAGTCAGGATCTGATGATGGGATCCTAGGGAAACCGAGGGGAATTTTCGAAAATTCTATGGGCGAGTAATGCGTCTTCAATTACGATTTTTAAACACCGACTTCTTACCTTCTTACTTATGGCACCGACTTCTTACCTATCAGTGGGTGGGTAACCTATCAGTGCTAATAATAGTTATATTTTGCTTTTTAGTTTTGACTTTTTGTTTGTTATTAGTTTTTGGTTTTTTGAAGTCGGTTTTTTAAACGCAGTTTTTATTTTATTATTTTGTCCCATAAATTACTCAGGTACTGTAAAGTTGTATGTCCAAAGTGCATGTTTTTCTTGAGTATAAAATTGATGAGTGGTGATGCTGATGATTAATTATGTTATTTATTTATTTGCTTATTTTTAAATATCAAGTACTAAAAACAAATAAATCTGAATTATGTTATTTCCTTCAACTATAGGATTTTCCTTTCAAACAAGCAGGAAGGAAAATAGTAATTTCTGTTTTTTACAAAAACAGAGCATTGATTCGGTAATATTATATAGGAAACAGTTTATTTGACTTGCTGGACTGTCTGGCTGGCTGAGCACCACAGTTCTAACATAATTTCTTTTTTTTTATATTTGATGGGCCGACATTTACCACTTACCACTTACCTGGTGGTAAGCAGTCATATATACAGTAGAGAGTCACATATGTAGAGTATAATGCAGTCAAGATCATGGTGATGATGTTTGTAATATGCAAAAGTTTGTATGTTACTCCTTCATGTCAAAACGGCTGAAGGATTCAAAATGAAATTTGGAACAGGGGTACATGATCTAGCCCGTTGAAATCCATCCCCTAAATTTGGTCATACAAAAATAGTCTCTAAACATTAGAAATAAGGTCTATTTTGTAATGAAATATTAGTGGAAAGCGGTCACCGGTGACCGCTTGGGGATTTATGGGCTAGATGGTAGATCATGATCTAGAACAGGGCTATCCAACCTATATACCCTCGCGGGCTAATTGAATTTCTTACAAAAGTTGGAGGATCAGAAAAATGTTATCAGTTGTATAATGATGTTTAACATTGTATTCTTTACTCAATTATACACTGAATTTTATTATTGTTGTTGCACATAAGATGAAGACGTTGAGATTAAAATGTGTGTCGCGGGCCACATGAAAACAAGCCACGGGCCGCATGATCTAGCCCTGTTCCTAGATCATTGTCTGGAATAACACATAGGCCACTTTTTATTTAACAGGAATGCGAAATCACTGGCAGAAGGTATTTTAAAAATTTTAAGCTGCCTTAAGTCGTCGAGTACCGTCATTATAGACACAATTATAGAACAATAGGTTGCGGTCACCGGTGACCACTTGGTGTTTGACAGTTTAAGCAAATTTGCCTGGTGGAACCTTCTGTGCATATATGTTACAAGTTGAAACTTGAAATATTCGTATAACTAAACTACAGATATCTGTTCCAATATTCTGGAATGTGTAGTTTGTTTTCATACACTAACCACCTTACTCACGAGTCATTTAATTACCTACTACTACGTACTACCTACAAATATTTCGGACCAAAATCGTTACTAAGAAATATTTTAAGTAATCATTAATGTCTCTAAGTATCGCATTTACACAAAATACCTATAGCAATTTTTATTTACTTTATAAACTTAGTTTCGTCTTCATATTTACATGTTATAAATTAAAATATATAATATTGTACATTTATCAGTACCTTGAACTGTCTACAGTGATAATTATTATTGTGTTAGTGTTTCAACAAAAGATATTATTTTATCTTTAGCAAAGATGCTGCCATGATGTAATATTATTTAACTGTTTAACTCATCAAGTACTGTCATTATAGACACAATTATAGAACAATAGGTTGCGGTCACCGGTGACCGCTTGGTGTTTGACAGTTTAAATACCCTGTAATAACACTGTGGTTAAAATACTCTTGTGACTTGAGATTTTTGGGTAATATTTTGATCAAGACACATTTAATAGAGACTGGGTAACAGGACTCCTTGATAGAACTGAACTTTTTGCATACAAGCCTGCCAATCTTGCAGATTATGGTATATACTCTCTTCCAACAAAGATGATAAAAGGAGCAACAACAAATTTTTTTTTTACTTGCTTATTTTATATCTACCTCTTTTTGGTAGCTGGGTAGTGTGTGAAAGGGGCACACTTTAAAATAATCATGACTCATAAGTTACTAGTAAATGAGTTATCAAGTGAGTGCACCTTTTAAATAGAATGTGACCTACACATTTATTATTTTTACAAAAATTATCAACCATGTAATAAAAATAAAACTGTCAAGAAAACCCAAATTGATATTTCTTTTTTGCCACCCTGTTCATTAATTAAGTGATTAGACAACATTTTATAGTCATGGTTTAGTTTTAAATATATCATTTGAATAATTATTTACATGACATCATGGTGATAAGCAAAAACAAAAAATGGTTTTAATATTTACCTGTGATGGGCAGGAACCAGGTCTTTCTTCCCATAGGCATCGTGCACAGGACACACCAGACCTCCAACCACATTCCCCAAGTTCAATGTGTGAATATAATCTCGTGCGATTTCTAGAAAAAAAAATAGAAAACCGAAATAGAGCAACAGTAACTTTGAATATTTTTCAAGGAGATCTATTTCATAACATTACAACAATTGTAACATAAAAAGCTAACTGTTTCATCAGGATACGTATATTTTAGAACACGGAAGGTCAAAAGTTCAAGTTCACTGCAATGAAATTAATGAAAAATGCAAAATAATTGCGCATTTCAACTTCGATTTCCAATATTACATACCGAACATTCGAAGGTGCATGTAAGTAGGAGGGCTAAAGCTCCCACATGCCATAACAACAATCTTGCCGTAAGACATTCTGCGATATTCTTCACTCAACACTATTTTATAATATTTCTATTTTTCAACTAAACACATATCACAACAAATTCGCACTCCACGATTCTATCCCTTCATTGATTCAACTTGAGAATGCTACAAAATTCAATGTGGACAATTTGTTACGAAATCTTATGGAATTATGTGTCATTTTTGCTCGATCGGGTAAAGTCATGAAAAAAAATACCAATCCACGCAGTATATTTTTTGTACAAGCGCGTAATGTTTCAGTAATTTATTTCCACCGATTTCACTTCAAAACAAATTTTAGCAGGCATCTAAACCACACATTTTTATTCATAAATAATTAAATATTGTAGTTGGAAAGAGTGGTTTTTATGTAATTTTTTAATGAGATCAAATTGTTGACGTATAACGGAATAAATATAAGGTTACAAAATCAAAAAGTCTGTTCTACACACAGAAATGTGTAATTATTGAAGTTCTCTTGAAACGTTAGCTTTGCAATATTGATAGATTTATTTGACATTGACAGAATTGACATTTTGTCTTTCAAATTTTATTCTGCTGCTCGTTTGTGGTTGTTATCACGGTCCTATAGAGTTTATTTTATTATTTACTTATTTAATGAAATGTAAATAAAAATGTTTGAATGAACCGCTTAAGTGCAATAAGCAAACAAGAGTTGATACAAACACTAAGTTTACAATTGATATCATAACCTTCCTGATAATCAGCTGGGTAAACATTTAACGAGAGCTAGCGGTAATTTTCCTAGAAAATGCGAATATCGTTGCGTTTACTTTCATCTGCGGTGCAGAAAACACCGTTTTATATTACTACGCCAATATTTTATGTGAATGCGGGTAAGTTTATTAAAGAAAATTGGTTTTCTATTGAGGGACTACCTGCTTAGTAAAACTAAAACTACTATACTTCCGGCTATCCTTGATCGGGATTAAACTTCCTTACAACTAGGTAGTAAAAGTTAATAAATTTTTTCATATAGTTGACCTTAGACATTCTCAAGAACTGATTATTTCCTCAAAGATTCTCATTCATTGCCAAGAACATTAATTTTCTTTTAAATTTTTTTTAATTCTTCCTAGTTGTTTCAAATATTATTTGTTTTAGCTCCTCATTTGGGTCACCTCTACACAGCTGTCGTAGCAGATGCCATACAAAGGTTTGAGAAGCTCACAAACCCTGATTGTCGTGTGATTTTTAGTACAGGTAAATTAACATAGTTACTATTATTTAGAGTTCCATTTTCCATATTTATAAGGAACATACTAGACTCTATTACTAAAAATGCCATTCTCCATTACAAGGCTGCATTCCATGAATTGTGCAAGCTAAGCAGCCGAAATTTTTATTGATAATGATGATGTATCTCTAATTCTGCTATAATACCAATTCTATACTTACTATACTATACTGCTTCATTAGCTCAGTCGTCGCAAGTTCGACTGCTGGGCAAGGGGTCTTAAGTTCGATTCTCGAGTCAGGCAAAGTAGGTATTATCGGATTTTTTAAAAAAAATCTCAGTAGTAGCATGATAATAGGCTCACCCCCTATTATATGAGACTCGTAACATAAATAGTGAAAAGTGGGTGTTACATTGTACAGTGGCATAACATGTCGTAATGTGCACATCTGCGGGCCTCTGCCTACCCCTTATTAAACCGAAAAGTTTGTTTGTTGAACTCACAAATCTCAAGAACTGGTTAGTTTTGGAAAATTCTTTTATTATTTAATTGCCTATTTCGAGGAAGGAGCCAAGCAAAGCGGGTGAAATAACATTTGAGTGGTAGTACTGAATGAATTTTTTATGCAGGAATGTTATATTTTTGTTTTTAGTTATTTATATTTTATGTTGTATATATTTATATAATTTAACTCGTCGAGTACCGGTTTTGTAGACACAATTATAGAACAATAGGTTGCGGTCACCGGTGACCGCTTGGTGTTTGACAGTTTAAATAAATTACAGATTTAAAAAAATTGCATTCATCGCATAGCTAAAGAAATACAACATTAGAAATCCAAATCACGACAACATGACACAAGTAAAAATTAAATTCTTATGCCTGTTCAAAAACAATTCTTAAAATAAGATGAATTCAAAATTAGAAATTAACTTAACTCATCGAGTACCGTCATTATAGACACAATTATAGAACAATAGGTTGCGGTCACCGGTGACCGCTTGGTGTTTGACAGTTTAAATGGTCTTTATGAATAATCTTATAGGTAATAAGTATACTAAAATTAGTTAACTCGTCAAGTACCGTCATTATAGACACAATTATAGAACAATAGGTTGCGGTCACCGGTGACTGCTTGGTGTTTGACAGTTTAATAATTAATAACATCTAATGAGATCAAAAGTACCTTCTTAGTAATGAATAACAGTAAATAATGATTATAATTACTATCGTGAGACATACGAAATTAATTAAAAATCGCGGGTTACTCACGTGAATATAATAAGAAAAGCTCTACTAGTTTCGAACCACAGAGGGGTACTTCCTCACGAACAGCGACAGAGCCGCGACGCGAAAAAATAGTAGAGCTTTTCTCAGTATTCACTTGAGTAACCCGCGATTTTTAGTTAATTTAGTAAATACCTTACTTGCTTAAACTGTCAAATACCAAGCGGTCACCGGTGACCGCAACCTATTGTTCTATAATTGTGTCTACAAAACCGGTACTCGACGAGTTAAACTATATAAAATAAAATAAAAACTTTCATTGAAATTAAGCTATTTATGAAATAAATAGTATCAGTGAAAAATTCACCATTAAATAAATATCACAACTTTTTACGCCAGCTATGTAAAGTGTGTGTAAAATCTAAAATACAGTATTGTATTGATTTTACTGAGGGGGAGAAAATCATCTAATGACTTCTCCCGCCTGGGTGAGGCGGAAGGGAGTGTCAGACTCTTACTGACTGAAATCCAACCCATTCCTTCTCCTGCACTTCGAGCCGGAACCCCGGTAACCCGTTAGGTTCTCCGCGACTCCGAAAGTATTGTTATGGTTTGAATTAAATCCAGAAAGTAAACAATAACAAGACTATCAGTTTATACAGGAACGCAAATAGATTGTTATCAATTACTACTTGACTTGCAACATTAATTAGTGTACTGCGCACATTTATTTATGTTTGTTGAGACTACACATTCTGTACTTTATACTTCTCGTTAATAAAGTGAAATTGTGGACCGCATTAAGACATGACATCAAAATTGAAATACAATTCTATTAACCAAGTAACGAGCGCCTAGCTTCACTGATAGACAGGCGGACGGACAATTGGGTAGTTACTGAGTCAAAAATAAATTATTTTGATTTTTCAGTCCAATTAAATATTAAAAAATAGTTACCTACACTTTCATTCATTGATTTGCGATATACTTAAATTTAGATTTATTCTAGCATTATTTTTAGACATAACGCTGGAATACTGAAACGTTACTCAATTTTAAATTGTGCTTAAATATCATGCTATCTCTGTCATTTCACAAAAAAATAGTGGAGACAGAACTATACTTAAGCGCGACTTAAAATTCAGTATTCCGTCATAGGTGTGCTATTTGACGCGAAAATATGATGACGTCATAAGATGATATTTCGTACAAATTCTTTTTTTTTTTCTCTTCTATGGTAAACGGTTCTCCAAAACGATCTTGTCGACTATACTGCCAGTGTCGAGTGGTGACGGCAGTTTAATGAGCCGTCGAACTTAACTTTGGGGATGGAACAGTATCATTTTTGATACTTCGATAAAAGTATTGAATTTGACTAGTTGTCAACTACCGTATTCCATTTTTGACGTTTCAAAGGTGCCTAATCAAGATTTAAATAAATGCTTTGACTTTGACTTTCGAGAAATCATCGACTAATAGTTAGCATGAACTGATTGATTTCATCTTCAGAATAAAAAATATCTACATGTTTTAAATAAGAAATTTTCGGTTAAAAAATCCTCAGTACAGTTATGTTTACTGGATTTTAAAAGCTCCTAGATGTTAATAAACTTATTCATATCCCATCTATTGACATGAATGCTGTTGTTGATCAAATTCTATTATTTCTAGTTATATTGGACGCATAATCTAGAATATATATAGTCCGCCTTACCGATTTCGGTAACGGCGACCCTTAATAGCTATCTCCTGTCGTGTGCCTTAATGTGACTTACCAAACCGAATTTAGTTATGAAAATCCGATCACAACTAGAGCAGTAAAGCTGGCCGGCAGAGTTGTACGTGTAAGAATAGGAAGGTTTAGGTCTGTCTTTACGTATTTGGCGCTTTATGTCCTACTAGCTACTTCCGCGAGGTTTTACACGCTCTGCTCGGCTTCTATTGGTCGTGGCGTGATGTTTTGTCTAGCCCATAGCCATCCTTGATAAATGCGCTATCCAACACAAAAAGAATTATTCAAATCAGACTTATAGTTACGGAAATTAGGGCGTTCAAACAAAAAACAAACTCTTCAACTTTATATAATAGTATTAGACAATAGAGGTAGTATAAGATGTATCTAGTCGCTGCTTTTCGAACGCTCGTACATTTTATATGTAGATAGTAGATGCACCAAGACTGTCTGTGAAAAGCTAGCTTCTCCCATTCCCTCGGACTAATATTACATGCGTTGAGATCTAGAATACACCCAGCTTTTACCAAGAACAGCGCCAGTTTCGCCAAATAAATAATAGAGGTGTATTTACTTCACAATTCTGAGGTCTTATTACCATTCAGGCACAGATGAACATGGCACAAAGATCCAGCAGGCCGCTGCTAAAGCCAAGCTGTCTCTCCCGGAGTACTGTACCAATATCTCCAATGAGTACAAGCAGCTGTTCCGAGACTTCAATGTGGAGTACACTGACTTTATACGGACTACCGAGGAAAGGCATAAGGTCGCTGTTAGACATTTTTGGGTGAGTTTCTGTAGATTTTTGTTTATAACCAGCTCTAACCTACCCCTTTTACCTAATGGAATTAAGCCTTTGTTCTTTTTCGTTTTCTCTAATACATTTTTTTATGGAATGTACCGGTAAACGAGCAGACGGATCAACTGATGGTAAGCAATCGCCGCCGCCCATGGACACCCGAAACACCAAAGGTGTTAAAAGTGCGGCCTTTTATTTTTTTTTTTTAATAAATCAATGCTGATCTTAGTTTTCAGTCAAATTTCCGTGGTGCTTGGCGCCTGGGCTTCACCCAGTTGTACAGTCTCTTCTTTGTGCCTTTAGGCTTAATTCATTCTGTCTCCTGCAGTAATTCACCGAGGGAAGTGAAAACCATAGTTTTTTCTTCTTCTCCTCTTATAATATCTTCTTATTCACTTCGTTGCGGGAACCAAGACAGTTACTCATGTCCCTGGGACGCGCCGGACTTCAGTGTTCTGGTGTTTTCATGGTTGTATCTACTGTAGATCCTGGCTTACAGGAGTTGCAGCGATTTTGGGAGGTTGTGGCGGGCTTGTCCCATAAAAAAAAAGTGCGGCCTTTTGGGGATTAGGAATTTGAGGATTGTGGGCGGTTGGAGAATTGGGGAGGGGGTGACTGGGCCTTCGGTAACCTGCTACACGACGAAATACACCGCAATATATGCACAAGAAGAAGTAACAAAGAAAAAATCTCCATAATGACGAAGAAAAAACAATTGTGATCAATTGTCTATTAATTAAAGTTGTTGACTCTAGTATTGTACTGTGATAAACAATTAGTATTTTTTTCTTTGAGAATTAGGTACTTCTTTCTTATTCACTTGTTTACAGTATTATAGAAATATTTAAATGATTATCTTGTTCACAGAATAAACTAGTGAAGAAGGATTATGTGTACAAATCCAAGTACAGCGGCTGGTACAGTGTGAACGATGAGGCATTTGTTCCGGAGACACATGTCAAGGATGAAGTCAGGGATGGAGAGAATGTAAGTAGCCTTCACATCAACTGACTATTGCTGAACTAAGGGCCTCCGCTGCGTAAGGGGGCTTTACCATAATATCATTGCTTGGCAAGTGGATTCAGGAATGTAGTTTAATAGGTTCAGGTTTATTAGGACGTGCTGCTACGTCAAATGTGTAGTTCCATTGTCTTACACAAAAGGGGACAATTGTATTGTACTCTGCTTGGACAGGTTGGACAGGACAGGACGCCCGCTTCTCATGCATGAGGGTGCGGTTTTAAAACCTACAACAGGCAAATACCAATGTGACTTTTTCCGACTTATATCTACTTTCTAAAATTATCAAGACACCACTGACAAACGGTGAAGGAAAACATCGTGAGGAAAGCTGGGCTTATAATTTCTAATTATAAGTCTATAATCACCAACCCGCATTGAGCAAGCGTGGTGATTAATGCTCAAAACTTCTCCGTGTAAGAAGAGGCTTTACTCACTAGTTACCATTTATAGGCTGTTGATGATGACGATTAGTGTACCTACTAAAATTTTCGATAACAGATTAAGAAATTGCACTTTAGCATGTAGAAAGAACATCTCACTATTTTTTGTTTGCAATTTTATATTTCAGGTGAAAGTATCAATAGAATCTGGCCACAAGGTAGAATGGACGGAGGAGACGAACTACATGTTCCGACTGAGCGCCTTCAAGTCACATCTACAGCAGTGGCTGAAAAATGGTAAGTGTACCCTAAAATGGCTGAGTAAGATATTAAATACAAACCTTGTTAAGTTTTTGGAATAGGGCGGCAAACGGACAGACGAAGTGACGCCGCCGATGGACACCTGCTGTATATCGGAGTTACAGACCTCTTGTTGATTAGGTTTTAGGAAAATCTATAAGGACGTGCTAATCTATAATTTGTTCATATATTGGGTGTAAACGCAACGCTCCCAAAACACGCGGACAGGTCAGCTCCAGACTGTATTATTGTCCTTAAGGTTATTTTCTTTTTTGATCACTTTGACTGGATTTTGGTGTTACATTGTTCTCGCACAATCCAAACAGCAAAACTATGTAACTATAATTATAGTAAATTGTATTGTGAACCTGATTGAAAAAGAGTAACCTATGGAGTTTCTTGCTCGTTCTTCTCCATAGGAATCTACACCTTGGAATGAGCAAATAGCTTCACTTTTAATTTTTTTTTTGACGTTCAAAAGTGCCATTCAGGCCTAATTGAAATAAATGATTTTGACTTTGATTTTGAGGTGATGGTAAAAAACAAGTTTTATTATAGTAAAAGTAATGTCGTGGTGGCTCGGAGGTTTAAGACGCCCGCTTCTCATGCATGAGGGTACAGGTTCGAAACCTACCAACGGCAAGTACTGGACTTTTTCCGAGTTATACGTACTTTCTAAGATTATCCAGACACCACTGACAAACGGTGAAGGAAAACATCGTGAGGATAACCTGGACTTATTAATTATAAGTTTGTAATCGCCAACCCGCATTGAGCAAGCGTGGTGATTAATGCTCAAACCTTCTCCGTGTGAGAAGAGGCTTTGCTCAGCAGTGGGCATTTATAGGCTGTTGATGAAATGAATGATGATGAAATGAAAAGTAAGGAATTCAATGTTTCTTTTGTATATTAATAGTTATAATCAACTGCTCAAGGCTGATGGTGCATGAGTAACACAAAAACAAAAGAGATTAAAATTATAAACAATATCATTTTGTCAGCGTTTCGAGAGCGTTCCGTTTACACCCTGTATATTCTTTTGTTTCTTTTTTTATGGCATAAGCCGGTAAACGAGCAGACGGATCACCTGATGGTAAGCAATCGGCGTCGCCCATGGGCACCTAAAATACCAAGGCGTTACAAGTGCGTTACCGGCCTTTTGGGGATTAGGAGTTTGAGGATTGTTGGGGATTCAGGGATTGGAGAAGGGAGGGGGGGGGGTCATTGGGCGAAGGCGTCTCCCTTAAGGTTATCGAAGGATAACCTCACTCACACGACTTCTCTCTTTCTTCCCTATACTTTCTTTCATCTTGTATCAATAACTGTAAACTCCTCTCCATAGTAAAAAAAATATTTTCTTCACAGACGGAGTGATAACACCATCGAAGTTCCAGAAGCAACTACAGGAGATGTTGGCGAACGACGCCTACCTGCCCGATATATCGGTCAGCCGACCGTCCAACCGAGTGCACTGGGCTATACGGGTATGTCATACTCATCACTTGTACAGTTGATCTACAAGTTTTGGTTATGGGCCCCGTACATAGCTCGAAACTAGTAGAGTGAACTTGTCAAAAAGTTTAAATTAGTACTTAAACCGTAAAATATAGTAAATAGGTAACAATGATGAAGATGACGAATGCTGATGATGTCGATGTGATGATCCCAGGTACCAGATGATGAGGAACAGAGTATCTACGTATGGTTGGACGCGCTGGTGAACTACCTGACAGTGGCCGGGTACCCCGACGAGGGAGTCATGATGGAGCGAGGCAGACCCTGGCCCGCTGATGTACATGTAGTGGGGAAGGATATACTCAAGTAAGTGATAATATTTCACGGTGCTCTGGATGTGGACCAACTTGATACAGTAACAACTTGTAAGTTTTAATACTTTAAGATTTCCTACCAATTCGGGTAAATATTTCAACATCCATTGTTATCTGTTCTAATCTGAAGATAACTTCAGCAGATAGAAAAAGAAAGCTTAAGAGAACTTCAGCTTCAAAATGGGTTTGATCTTTGGTTACCCTTTTTTTATTTAACTCGTCGAGTACCGGTTTTGTAGACACAATTATAGAACAATAGGTTGCGGTCACCGGTGACCGCTTGGTGTTTGACAGTTTAAACATGTAATTTAAATAAAAAAAGAATATAGAAACGCGGTTTGTTCGCATAAATGAAATTTCAAAAAATACTTATGAGGTCATTATAATTTATTTAGTGGTTTAGGTGTTATAAAGCGCAAAAAACATTATCTAGTAAGTAAATTTAAGTCAGGTTTTGTATTAGGTACAAACTGACGAAATATAAATCACGACTATCTCTAATTTCTGTCTGTCCCTCCCAGATTCCACGGTATCTACTGGCCAGCGTTCCTAATGGCGATCAAGTGGCATCCTCCACGTCGATTAGTCTGTCACTCGCACTGGACGGTCGACGGGAACAAGATGTCGAAGTCGCTCGGTAACGTCGTCTGTCCACGGAACACTCCTGTGGACTACGACGCACTGCGGTATCTACTGCTCAGGGAGGCTACTATGGCCAGTGATGCTAGTAAGTGTAGATTGTGGTAATATCGTAGTAATATGTCTGTGTTCATACAGGGTAAAGTTGACTGCACGGTTGGTGCGGTGGCTGGGCAATCGGCTGCCGTGCAACGTGTCGCGGGTTCGATTCCCGCACGGAACAACACTATGTGTGATCCACAATTTGTTGTTTCTGGTCTGGGTGTCACGTGTATGTGAACTTGTAGGTTTGTAAACGCACCCACGACACAAGAGAAAATTCTAATGTAAGGCAACTTTTTAAAAAAAACTGGAAAATAGTTACACCAACATTTAGGACAATGGTCAACGTGTTAAGTCGACATCACCTTTACTTCGTTGCTAGAATATACTGTTTACATCTGCTAGTATTTTTTTCTGTGTGCTTTTATCCCAATAGATATCAAAACTTAGTTTATCGTAATAAGTCTTCAATTCATATTTTTGTCTACCAGCAGGAGACGATAATATTAAATATTTTGTGCCCATTTCAATGTAGTCTTTGTAAATTAAGTGTGGGAGAGCCATATTAGTGTAGTAGTGATACCACCAACGAGCAGAAAACCGCTTGTGTTGTTTCGTCGTGTGAGTGAGATTACCGGAGGCCCGATTACCCCCCTTCCAAATCTCCCCATTCCCCAAAAATCTTCAAATTACTGATCCTCAAAAGGCTGGTAACGCACTTGATACACCTCTGGTGTTTTGGGTGTCCATGGCCGGCGCCGATTGCTTACCATCAGGTGATCCGTCTTCTCGTTTACTGGCATATACTATAAAGAAATGAGCCGATGTTTGTACCAAAAAAGGGATGGGCCTCTTCAATATATTGAGTGGGCTGTATGTAAAACCTGGTATACTAAAAGAATAAACGGTACAGTCCAAATTGGCGTCTTGTACGAGACGCTTGTAGTTCCAACAATGGAGGCCGTGCCCTTGGTCCTGGCCCGCGCGCGCCTCCAGCGTCCAGCTACGTACCCGCGCAGACACTTTCAGTTTGATACGTTAAATACCTCTTTCTTTCCAGACTTCAGCCTAACAAAACTGATAAACGTGGCTAACTCCGAGTTAGCAGATAGTCTGGGTAACTTAGCGTCAAGATGTTGCGGCACGGCACTGAACCCGCTCCAGGAGTTCCCCGCGCTACAACCGACAGAGTTCACCCAGTTACTACAGGGGGAACACGCGGCGTTACTTGTGGAGTATGTGGAAGCGTTGCCTGGTATGTAGACTTCTGTTTCGTTTAGTTCACATCGCCAGTAGAGAGTTTAATTATCGAAGAATCATATGTACATAAAGTCATGCATTTGACGCATAGGACTTATGGGACTACTCCATATCCATAAAAACCTATTTATCTGCGTAACACTACAGAGTACCCCTTAGTATTTATCTACTCTTAAAACACTTAAAACACACGCCAGTTTACTAAAGATACGACTAGAAAATTTATGAAAATACCACTGGTCCTGTTTCAATTCTTCTACGATCTCATCATATTTCTCCTGTAATTTACGATTCTATGAATCTATGCTAACAACGTAAATCGCAACATTGAAATCAATATTACCATATATTTTATTATCTCATATCTCTTCCAGGAACATGCTACACTCACTACAAAAACTACCAATTTTACAAAGCAGTGGACGCCGTAATAAAAGTGTTGCACGTTGCAAACCTGTTCTTTGAAACTACCAAACCATGGGAATTACGCAAAAACCCAGAAAAACAAAAGGAACTAGACGTAATCCTACATGTTACCATGGAAACGCTAAGAATATGCGGCATTGTACTCCAACCAATAATACCAGAGATGTCAAAAAAACTACTAGATAAACTACAAATTGGTAGCAATTGTAGAAATTGGCAACACTGCGAGACGCCATCTTGGCGTTTGAAGGGAGCTATTTATGAAACTAAGCACATTCAGAGCGGAAAGTTTGTTCTATTTCAACGTATTTATGAGAAAAAAGCTCAGGTTGAGAGAAAAGTGCAGGTGGAAAAGAAAAAAGCTCAAAAGAAAAAAGTTTCAGTGTAAAGTATGTATTCTATAATAAGTAGCTAGACACGGGTTTTAGAATTGGTCATTAATATTAAGTAGTGTTTTCTCAAAGGACAGTTATAATCGTTTTAGTTTTTTTTTTCCTAATTTGTTTTTTTTTGTACAGTCAATACCAAGATTTAAATTAAAGAGTTTAAGATTGCATTTAATAAGTGTTGCCATTTTAAAGGTTAATTGGTAGAAATGTTTTATTGTTGACTGTATTAAAAGAATTACTGTTTCATCGGGTTTTAGTGTGGTTGTATATATCATACATATCCTAATATATGTTTATGTAAATACAAAAGCTAATGTAAAGTCAAGACAATTTTATTGAAAGGTATTCAGCCGATTAGGAATATTTTTATCTAATTCATTTTTAAATCATTATGAAATGTGGTAAAAAGTATAGAAATATTAAAAAATACTAACAGTACTTTTTGAGTTACCGTGCAAAGAAATTAATTAAAAAAGAAATAGCATTTCTTGTGTGAGAATATTAAATATTATTTTATACCAGTGTGCAATATTTAAAATATTTTATATTCAGTTTATGTATAGATAAAAGACAATCAGTTTTGTATACATGGGGATGATTTCAATAATTTATTTTGTGCATTTCATATATTACCTGCTTGTTTAAGTCCTAAATTCGAATAGTAATATTTGATTCTTCCATTAAGGGCCGATTTTACAACATCATCATTTAATTCATAACTGTAGAATAAATTTGACAGTTATTAGTATGGAAGAATTGTGAAATATTCAGATATTTCTCTGATAATTCAACAAAACTATCTAACTGGAGAATTGTATTGTAAACCTGATTGAAAAAGAGTAACCTATGGAGTTTCTTGCTCGTTCTTCTTCATAGGAATCTACACCTTGGAATGAGCAAATAGCTTCACTTGTTAATTTTTTTTGTTAATGTTCAAAAGTGCCTTCCTTGTCTAATTGAAATGTATGATTTTGACTTTCACTTTGATGAAATTTAACTGAGCATTGTAAAATCGGCCCTTAGTATGATTATTACCTGTCTTCCATGACTAAATAAAATAGGGCATTTATAAATATCAATTTTTATGCAAATTATTTTACTTATAATTGACATTAATTCGATAAATACTATTTATGAATGAATGAAGCGTTTATTCAAGGTAAGAAACATAGTTGGAAAAATACAATATTACTTCTGCCAAACTGCAAAACAGTTTGTTGGCAGATGTAGCTCCCTTAAATAATACTACTATATAAAATTACTAAAAAAAAAAAAAGAACCTTTGACATTCTAATTCACACATAATAGTTTTCTATCAGGTAAGTAGTTTGAGTAGGACATAAACTTATCTATATATCTCCAAACAGAGAAGGAGACCTTAACAATCTTTGTTGAGAAGGAACTTCACCATTTTGTTTTTGAAGGAAAGTTTTGTAGTACACCCACTTTCCAAATAGTCTGGCATATCATTAAATATTGTTGGGACTAAGCATTTTCTACATCTTTGCCCATAATAGTTAACAGTAGTAGGTACTATAAATCTTTTACTTATTTTCTCTCTTTGGGGTCTTTTGTTTACCACTTTGATTTTAAACTCGTCTTTACAATAATTGTCTATGGCCAGTAATAACACCACCTTTTGATGGATCGGCAATATCTTACATTCTAAGAATAATTCTTCATAATCACTATTTTTACATCGTTTTTTTGTGTTCTTGTCTACTAATAGTTTTATAAATCTAATTTGTAATAATTTTATTTTATCCAGATATGATTTAAATGTATTACCATAGCATGCCAATCCATACGAAAGCAGCGACTCGACCAGTGCATAGTAAACCGTAAACAAAGTGCCCCTGTCCAGTACAAAACTGAGGTGGTGAAACTTTACAAGCACTAATCTGAGTTTGTCACAGAGGAGTGTAATATGTGTTTTCCACGAAAAGCTGTTATCTATTACTAAACCCAAGTATCTGTATTGCTCCACCACCTCAATATCCGCACAAGCGCAGTACGCCGCATCTTCGTTATGCAGGCATTCATAGCTATGCCCCACCACGCGAGGCGGACGTTCACAGACTTTAAGATAAGGAGATCGTATACGCATACATTTAGTTTTTTTTATGTTTATTACGATCCCGTTATCATGCGCCCATTTAATTATTATAATGTATATTGTAAATTGTAATATAAAGTTAACGAAAAAGACTGTTACAATTTCTTCTATTATAAATAAATATAAATAATTTGCTTCCTTAACTAAAAATTGTGTGTTACTCACGTAAAATGCAGTACACGCTGCACATGAGGAAGAACCCCTCTGTGGTTCGAAACTAGTAGAGCTTTTCTCAGTATATTCACGTGAGTAACCCGCGATTTTTAGTTAATTTAGAATGTCTCACGATAGTTATTATAAAAAAAATTTGCTTCCTTACCTATATCGAGATTATGATCTTATTTAGTTTTAAGTAGTAATTGTATCATGGTGCATTTGTATAATTAACTAATTAGTTGACCGACACCACTGCACTGTGCCTTAGGTATGCTAAATCAACAAGCTGTGATAGTCCACCGCCTCTGTATAAGAGTGAGCATAACCATACTGAGGCATTAGTACAAGTCTGTTTCACGTTTAAAATAATCGAAACGAGTTCGCGTTCGGCACTCTGATTGGCCGGCGCCAATAAAGCAACCAATCACAGCGCCGAACGCGTTACGATACGATTACTTTAAACCTAGCACAAACTCGTACTAAGGCCTCTGAATTGGAATCCACAGTTTAACCCGTTCTTTGCAACGTACGTCTACGTAGGACAAAGTGTTTTCTATTGTGTCTCATATAGTGGCATTTAAGGTTTTCTCTTGTCGTCAAGGTCCGAGTGAATAGTTACTTATGGGCAGACATGCTCCATCGTAGACCACATCATCGCTTAGCACCAGCCGAGATATTTGCCAAACGTCGCCCTATAAAATAGTAAAAAAAGAGTTTCGATTATATCAGAGTGCTAGTGCTCGGTCTCTTTTCAATATGTACTCCCTTAGTCAGCTTTTATGATCTCGCGGGAGGAGTAAAGGCCATTGTATTCTACCTAGCACCACACAGCATCGCTAGTTGCATTCTGTATATCAACTTTACTGTGGACCGATGTGAATAGAATAAACATTTATTTACTCAGAATGGTATTTACATAACATAACATCACGCCTTTTATCCCCGTAGTGGCAGGCAGAGGTGTACACAGAAGTAACACCCACTATTCAATAATGTTATGAGTCCTATGTAATAGGGGTGAGCCTATTGCCATATACCGGGCACAATTCCAGACTCCGTGCTACTACTGAGATTTTTTTTTAAAAACCCAGTAGTACTTTGCCCGACCCGGGATTCGAACCCGAGACCCCTTGCCCGGTAGTCGCACTTGCATCCAGTCGGCCAACGTAGCAGTGGTATTTACAATAAAGTGATATTAAAACACTAATAAAGTATTCTTGTACATTCCACCATTTTGGCATGCAAACATTGATGCAGGTTCATCATCAGACATATTATGGCACAATTACAATTTATCAACTAAATAATCAGACACAGAGAACAATTGTTAACAAGAGTGTTGTAAGTTTCTTTTTAAATTGTCATCGATTTCTTTTTATTGAATTAGGAATGTGGTTAGCCGGCGCCATACAAAAACACCCTCAAAGAGCCATCAGACCCGAGAGTACGGCGCGTCGCGTACCGCGCGCGCTTCTAAAAGGCAATCCGACCACCACGGATGGAGCCCAATCGGACTGATGCCGATTTGGAGTCGCGGAGAACCTAACGGGTTACCGGGGCTTCGGCTCGATGTGCAGGAGAAGGAACGGGGTGGTTTTTAGTCAGTAAGAGTCTGACACTCCCTCCCCCCTCAACCAGGCGGGAGCAGTCATTCGATGATATTCCCCCTTAAAAAAAGTTTTGGTATTGAGATCGCAATGTGTGCCATGCGCTTTCCTTTACAGCTACCCTTCAAGGACTACCTTCTTCCAAGCGTACCTTAGGTATGGTGCAGTGTTTCTGGTCAAACTATAATAATAATACCATATTTAGTTTGTGTTCATTTCTGTTATTTATATTTCACATTAATAAATTGTTGAATTTAATTTGGTTGTTTCATTATTTTGTTGCTGAGGGATTTGGCTACTTGCCAATTAGACAAATTCCTTTTTTTTTGGAATTGTCTAAAACGATAGTAGGTATTCTATGAATTTTGTACGAGTTTGTGTATGGTGACGTCACGTTTTTTAGCGTCAAGTAGCATATTCATTTCTTAAATATTTTTTGGAAAAATACTAAAATTAAATTGGTTATAAAATCAATTAATGAAAGTGTTTTAAAATTGAACAGTCGAAATAATTTACTTTTGATTAAAAAAAGTACCTAATTGCGGTGGAATTTAAAAATTTGTATTCATTTTACCAATGTCTGTTTATCCAAAAGGAGTTAAAGATCGTAGTAGCTCGTAGCGCAGTGGTTCCTGCTGATTTCCATGGGATACTGTTGTGTATCTGTGGTATACTCTATGGTCAGAGTATAGTCTATGGTGATAGATTATCTATGTGCGTGGCGGAGCCCGCCAATTTGTAAAACGTACAGATACAAATACGAGTATAATAGATTGGATTAGACTGCCTCGTTGGCCGAGTGGTCGCAATTGCGACTGCCGGGTAAGGGGTCTCGGGTTCGATACCCGGGTCGGGCAAAGTATTACTGGGTTTTTAAAAATTCTTAATAGTAGCACGGAGTTTGGAACTGTGCCCGATATATGGCAATAGGCTCACCCCCTATTACATGGCACTCATAACATAAATAGTGAAAAGTGGGTGTTACATTGTACAGCGGTATAATGTGCACCTCTGCCTACCCCTTCGAGGATAATGGGCGTGATATTATGTTATGTGGATTGGATTTCTATGGATAAAAAGAAAACAAACATTCTATATCGGAGTCAATTTATTACGAATATGCTTATTAAATAATAATATTTGCATCAAAATACTGCAATAACGACTAACAGTATGAAGGAAAGCTAACCATAACACTATCAAGCTAAATACAGCAACGCTACGCGGTTGCATTGCAACCGAGCGCGCAACGCGTTGCAGTAGCACGATACGCAACGTAGTTCTACAATTTTACTATAAAAAATCACCAAAACCGTCTTTGAAATAGAGAAACCATTGATTTTGTACTCTATTTTTATCTTTATATTTGTATTAAAGGTAAACTTTAAACTTTTTGCGCATCGTGCCACTGCACTTCAATACACTTAGTCGAAAATGCATCAAATGAGTATGATACAGGTATGATTCTAATTTATAATAATAATTAATATTATTATATATAAATTCTTACAAAAATTCGGTGACAACATACACATTTTTGCTTAAATGCTTATTCAAAAAAATCTGTCATCTGTGAACGTCGTAAAAACAAATTATTGATTCATTACAATATACTGAAGTGGTATTGACACTAGACTATTTATCATAAGAATATATTGGCATTCATATCGTATCAATGTCTTTTATACATTATTTTATAATAGTATACAAATTGGAATGACATTTTGACGTACATCGCCGTCTTAGTATGAAAAATTCACAATGTATTAGAGTAATAAAGTAAAAAAACCGCCAATGTACGTCAAAATACCACGTTTTACATTTACGAAGGTTCACAGATAACATAGGTCAATGATTTCGCCCTAAAAGTAAGAAATACTAAAAAAACCTGTACAATTTGAGCTCCCGAGTTGAGCATCGTTGAGAGAACTCGTAAAGAGAGATACTCAACTTACATAAACTCTAATATTGACTTTACAACATACGAGACTAAAAAAATATTAACAACTTATATAAAAAAAATGCATTATGGATGGTAACACTAGTTTATGTGCAACTTAATATATTTTAACTTCTAGAAAACATAATTGATAGTAAAAAGAACATGATTTAAATAAGTAACAGGACAAAACCGTCATAGCACAGTGTCAAGCACATCGACCTACTTCTGTGTGTAAATTTTCGACACTGGATTTTCAATTTCATATCTTAATGGTAGAGTTGAAAATCTAATGAAGAAATTTGACAGAATAGTGTACGTTGGTCGCGGCCCACTATACCAACTCTTCTTTATATTTCATCTTAATCAATATCATGTTTTAGTTTGATTTCATTCGTAATAAAACTTGTAAATAATTAAATATTTATAAAAGTATAAGTAATTCCCTACAACAAACGTAGGATTACTTCATAATAACAAAATATTAGTTGTAAAGTCAATATCCGAATGGATTGCTTATATCGAATAGGAGCGTCGAAGCATTGAACGGTTCACTCGTTCAGTTCAACCATTCATTCACAAAAAACAACATGGCTGAATGTTTAAAAATTTCCGGACGGAAGATTTCAATTTTAACTATTCGTGATTCGCGCATCCTCATATAAAATTCCAAATTATTTTTAAACTCACAGCCAGTCAGGTCGCAATACAATTCCAATTATCAGTGTTGCAACATAAGATAAATAATTGAACGAACGAGTGAACCCGTCACTTTGTGCGAATAAAAAAAAGAAAAATTGTAGCGTGATGACTTGCCTTACACAATTACCCTTGCATGCCTAACCTTGGCACTACACTTCGGCCATTTCCGTAAACATTCGTATGTTTCCGTTGATTCAAGATGGCGACGAATGTTCAGGGTGCAAAGTGAAGCCTGAATGACGATTAAAAATGGGAGGCGAATAATGAAAGCGTGTGGCAGAGACGGCGAGAGAATTACAAAAATATTTCATTTCAACACAAATGGAGTCGATTTTATTGCATGTCATAGGAATTCGTGTCCACCGACACACGTAATTTGAAATACTCGTTCGATTCTTACGTCGATTTTCTATCTAATTATTTTATCAAAAAGACCCCACTGTTCATACTTCGTAGGCCCGTTTTACCCAAAGGGCCGAAATCCAATCAACCACATTTTAAACAAATTGTCTCCTACGTCTAACCTAATTTTCTCAACCCGCAAATGCAGAGGCGGCCGACTATGCGCATACCATGTTCTAATTTTAGTATCGCAAGCATTTATTATAACTACTAATGTTAGTACATAGCTCCTTAACAACTAATTCTTTTGTTACGGCTTACAGAAGCCAAGTTTGGAACATTTATCAAAACCCGTAATAAATTGTCAATTATATTTTTAAGAATATCAGTTACGCGACACTTCTAATATTTCTATTAGCCCTCCTTACGCTAAATGGCTCATAACAACCTTATTTTTAAAACGATAGAGCCGAAAATTGAATAAACCGTTCCCTTCCACACGCGTTCAGCCTCGAAAAATGACAATAGGCATCGAAATATTCAATAACAATAAATGTTAAACATCAAAATGCATCAATACTTATACTAGTTTATATTGGAAGTGAATTGGCAATGTACAGTAAGACGAAAACGTTTTTCCAATTATTTGTGCGACGATTTAATATTCACAATGTTTATGAGAGCAGAGGTTTATGAAGTTCAATGTGTTTTGTCTCTTGTCAAAAGAACCTTCACTACTCACTTTCACTTTGTATCGTTATATTATTACATTACACTACCACGACAGACGAAAGACAACTAATAAACATAGATTCCATAGATTTCCTTCTATTCGTTTCATTATTATTGCTTCATTACTATTCTAGCTATAAGTGACTTAAGTGAGGCGGATGACTTGCTATCATAACTGTAGGATTCATTGCGAAAACTGCATTTTATAAATGTCTGTTTTCTCAGAACATGATGATATTGTGATATATAATAGGTCTTAGCTTAGAATGGACATAATATCTGATTACTTAACGCTTATTATTTAAGCTTTACAGGATTTTAATCTTAGCTAAACTGGACATAAGTGCTAAATTCCGCCATCATTGCATATAAAAACTTTTAATATCCTTCGAGTTTAATAGAGTATTCATATAAAGTTAAAAAATGTTCAAATGTCAAGTTCAACTAAGATTTTGATCCATACAATCCGCGGCTCGACCCAAATGTTTATATTATAAAGCCATCAATAGGAAATATTTAATTATTTCTTTACATTTGACATTTACAAAAGAATCTAAAAAAAGTGTCCTTTAAAACTGTTTTATAAAAATGTATAAGTTTAAATATATTTCTACTCACAAAACAATAGGGGCATCCCTTCTAAAATGTTAGATTGGCATCGATTTTACGTAATTTTCCAAAATCAAGTATCGATAAAATTAGATTAAATAATCGCGACCCAACACTAGTCTAAAATGTTCACAAACATAAATAATAAACAACTCTATGAAATATATATTTATAAATAAAACAAATCAATAATATCAATAATGACGGATTACTGAGAATAATACGATGATACATAATGATTATAAATTAATAATATAATAATAGATAATATTTGTTTGTTCGTGTAATACTCCAAGGATTAACTATTGAGCTAAATGCATAATGGTTACAGAATAATATCAGTCATCCATGAGAAATACAAATATCTAAAAGATATACTTAAAATATTTTGACTTCACAACAGTATTGCCAGAAACAAATAATATTAATTAACAATAGACATTGTAAAATATTTAATTTATCAAACTGCAAAACGTGTCGTGGCCGAAGGTTCAAGACGCCCGCTTCTCACACTTGAGGGTGTAAGTTCGAAATCTACCAAGGACAAGTTCCAATGTGGCTTTTTCCGAGTTGTATGTACTTTCCAAGATCATTTAAACACCACTGACAAACGATGAAAGAAAACATCGTGAGGAAACCTGGGCTATAATCTCTAAGTTTGAAATCGCTAGCCGGCATTGAGAAATTGTGCTCATTAATGCTCAAACCTTCTCCGTGTGCGGAAACGCCTTTGGTCAGCAGAGAAAAATCTTTTCTGATGTAAAACACAAATTAGAGCTTTCTGTTTTACACTCAGCTAAGTCAAAATATTGTAAATATACCCTTTAATAAAAACGTTAGCAATTGTAAGTTATTCTCACTTAAATAATATCCAATCCAAAGACAATACTGTCTCACATCCCTACAAATCATAGATAAAAAATTCATCACAGCAAACCTTACAATTGCCAGCGTAAAAAATGAACTTAAACTAAATTGTTCATGATTTTTTAACAGGTCACAATAACATGTTTTTTACGTATGATTATAATATTACAGGATTTTAATGAATGCTGTTTTTGTATCTATATGTTATTTCAAAATAATATGTTAATGAAAGGGAAATTAGAAGAGCTAAAGTCTAAAGCACTTATGCCTAATCATAAGAGACTCAGCATAATTAAAAATAAGGTATAATTGCTCTGATATTCGCTGTAAAGTTAATAAAATCTTGGATTTAATAGTATAATACTTCTTTGTGTCTGTAAGGTCTGGGCATAGCCTTACATTCTTTCAAAAATTCTATCTAAAGAAACCCTCATTGTGCTCTGTTTTAATGATAAAAATGTGACTTGCGTGCAACTTTCCAAACTTACCTAAAGTTACAGGAGATTTTAGAAACAAAAAAATAGATACAAAAACAACATTCAAATTATACGTCACATAATATAAAATTCGAAGATAAAACACTAACCGACAGGTACAACGAATAATGCATCATATTACTATGTATACAGGTTCCAATTTAATTTAAACATAAGTTCTCACATACAATTATTTGACAATAGGGCATGAAGGTAGAATGTAGAAGTTGATTGAAACATGTTATCCCATTTTCACCTCTCTTTACCTAAGTATAAAGTTTATTTTCACATAATTCATTGCCTTTTCAAAACTAGCTAAGCTTAAAATTACCATATTCGGCTAGTATTTTACTTTGTCTTTAAAAGGTGCACGGTAGCGTATCGCCAAGTCAAATTAATTCCTACACAATTGACGCTACATTACGTTATATAGTTACGCCATAAGGCAGTCGTTATTAAAACAACTTAAATATTAATTAAGTGTGTCACGACATTTTAAAATTAAAATTACGTCAGGAACAAAATATTGCATACAATAATGTCTTTGAATTAAGTGGACGATAAGATTTGTCGAGACGATGTATGTCACGTCAATTTGTTAAATTAGCTATTCTTGTTATTTATTTGTTTCTATGATAATTCTATATCTTTGTATCTTCATTGGTGTCAGCACGGGGTCGCGTTACTCATACGCAATCCATGCTCTAGGTGTCTCAAACTGTGGTAAGACTCTTCTAATCGGGGTTTAGCGTTTAGGTAATATTTGTGCTTACTTGTACGTGAAGTTATCACGTGTTCTGCAGTGCACCGCCATGTCCGGCGTCGTCTACGGGCTGCGTACTGCGGGCGGTCAGCTCAGGGCCGCCGGCGGCGCCACCGGGGGGGGCTCCTCCGGGGCCGGGCATGTCACACCCGGCGGCGCGGGGGGCGTCACGCCGGCCGGCGCGGGCGACGACGGCAGTAACAGGTGCTCCGGGACCGGCACCGCGCGGAGACGCGCTGATACTTTCTTTTGTGGACATAGTACCTGGAAATAGGGACAGAATATTATTTAGGAGTTACAAGCTTACAAAGTGTATAACACGTTATAGCAGGCGGAACTCTAAACACAACACTTAATCTTACATACTTATACACATTGTTCGAGAGATTTTCGACTCACACATAAGTCACACATAAGTATATATATATGTAGTTATTAGTAGTAGTAGTTATGTTATTCCCAATTTATTTATTATCTTTTATAGTATTGTTATTTAGTAATATTGATAATGTATCTTATGTAATTTACATAATACCTATTACACCTACTGTTGCACATCTCTGCATCACCCCATGGTTGACTGTTAGAGAATGCCACTAGGCATTAAGTCCGCCATCGTATGTTATAATATACAGAAGTGTTAATAAATAAATAAATAAATAAGTCATAGAATACTAATATTGGAAAAAAATTAAAGATAACTTACCCTTCTGGCAAATAGGAAGCATCCCTTCTCCTCCTCGGGCGTCGTGGTCGCCGGGACTAGCTGCAGGTCTACTGTAGCACACTCCTTGCCGTCTTCCCCTACAGCACGAAAGAAATATTTATTTTATTTATTTATTATCAGCAATGATAGTCGCACTGCAGGGCAAAAGCCTCCCTACCCTCCTTCCACTCCTCTATATGCAAAAAAAGAACAAAATCAATAGAAAAATTACTTAGACCAACATGAAAATCTGTCGCAAAATGATGCTTTTCATCGCCTTAAATTCCGTCTAAGATAAATAAGATGGGATTGATGGACAACCATTCCGATTGTGTTATATATTTATGTACTACATCCTCAAACTTGTATCCATCTTCAAAGTAAATAAAAATATTATGTTTTTATAAAAACTAACGTGAGACATACGGAATTAATTAAAAACTACGAGTTACTCACATAAATACACACAGACTCGTAACTAGTAGAGGTAAGAGGTTTTCTCAGTACATTTTAACTCAATTTACGTGGAAACCAAGTGACCATAGTTACGTATGTTTTGTCTCAAGATATCTCAGTAGCTTTTACAGACAAACTAATAATTTTTACTAAGTACACCAAACCTTATTCCAATATAACATCACGCCTTTTATGCCCGAAGGGGTAGGCAGAGGTGTACAATGTAACACCCACTTTTCACTATTTGTAATATGAGTCCCATGTAATAGGGGGTTAGCCCATTGCCATATACCGGGCACACTTCCAGATACCGTGCTACTACTAAGAATTAAAAAATACCCAGTATTACTTTGCCCGACCCGGGAATCGAACCCGAAACCTCTTGCCCGGCATTTGCACTTGTATACACATATTTCAAAAAATCAAAATCACCTCTAGAAAAGACATTGAGTTCAGTGAAGCATCCAGTTTCAATCATCTCAGTCTGCCAGGGGATGCTGACGGAGCCGGTGTTGAACTTGCCGTAGAAGGTGTCGTCCGCGGCGTCGAGGTTGACTCCCTTCACCGTACTGAACTGCTCTATGTCCAGCACGTCTTTTGCGTATACCGCGTGTGGCTGTAACAGGAAAAAACAACAATATATTTAATGTGTCTGAAGCAACTTAATTAAACCTTTTTCTTTTGAATTCCTTTCCAGAGAAGTAAGGGACATTATCCTTACTAATATTATAAATTGGAAAGTGAGTTTGTTTGTTTGTTCCACTTTCACGCCGTAACTACTAAACCAATTGCTTTGAATTTTTGCAGACATAAAGTTAGAAGTCCGGATTAAATAATAGGGTACTTTTTATGCCCGGAAAAATTTGATATTCCCGAGGGAAAACAAAAGTATTGGTATAGATGGCGCTGTGTGTATTGATATATATATCACATAGGCTACTTTTTTTTAGCCGCGTGTAAAAGCTAGTGGATAATAAATCGTTCGCTACGTGCACCACAATCCTTAGAATTCAATGGTTTTTAATCTTACTTGAAGAAACACAATATTTAATTTCTTCATCAACATCATCATCATCATCATCAACAGCCTATACATGCCCACTGCTGAGCAATGCCTCTTCTCACACGAAGAAGGTTAGAGCATTAATCACCACGCTTGCTCAATGTGAGTTGGCGATTTCAAACTTATAATTAAGCCCAGGTTTCCTCACGGTGTTTTCCTTCACCTTTTGTCATATAAAAGAAAAAAATGTGTTTTGAAAATATGTACATATAGCTCAGAAAAAGCCACATTAGTACTTGCCGTTGGTAGGTTTCGAACCCGCACTCTCATGTATGAAAAGCGGGCGTCGTAAACCTCCGGCCCACCACGACTTTAATTCCTTAGGTCCTACATTAGCGTGCGAGGTATAATAAAAGATTGCAGTCTTAAATTAGAATTTAGTAACTAAGCCTAAATTGACTTGTAAGTAGAATTGATTTGTTTATAATTGCAAATAATGTTGTTCGAGGATTTATTTATAACGACTTGTATTTATAATTATGTTTGAATGGTAATGTTTATAAATACGATCGACTAAGCATTCAGTTGAAGCTTTGTATTTGGATTTCATATTGATGTAGTTATGTAAATACATTTAGGCGTACGGTGTGGCGCGTCAAGCCAAGTTCATTACATTTTGCAGCTAATAATAGAGACTGCAGCAATTGCTATGCTTGTCTGGTATCTTGATGATTGCTATTAGGTGACTGAAAGATTATATTTTTGCCCCGTCTGTGACTGTGGTCAAAATTTTTGGACATACCCTGAATTAAGCAATAGACCAGCCCGTGCAACCACTAAACTCATTGCTGATGAAGCCGATCAAATTGCAGACATATAACGAGTAGAATTTAAGGTGTATATTTAGCATAATGCTATTGTATGTTTGTCTTGTAGTGTAGTTCATTAAGGAAACACCTTGTAATATAACATAATATCACGCCTTTTAACCCCGAAGGGATAGATAGGCAGAGGTGCACATCTGTACAATGTAACATCCACTCTTCATTATTTATGAGTCCCATCCATGTCATAAATAGAATTGTGCCCGATGTATGGTAATAGACTCACCTTGTTTAGCCGTTTGAATGCACTGATATGAGATACAATAGAAAATATGTGTTTTTCATTGTGTCTCGCGTGGATTCACGTTTAGACACACGACGGGTTAATAAATAAATTGTTTTTTTTTTTAAATCTGAGCGACGTTGTCTATCTCTGATAAATGATAAATAATGACATGATGTAGAGAGGGTTAGAATGTCGGTCGGTAGGAGCTACGTACGTCGGGCACGAAGGGCGCGTCGACCATGCCGGCCTCGAGGCGCGCCCAGTTGAGGTGCGCGAAGAAGCGGTGCGCCTTGACGGCGGCGGCCCCGCGGCGGCCCGCGCCGCAGCCCGCGCCGCAGCCCAGCCGCGCGCCCGCCGCCTTGCTCAGCAGCGCCCCGCACAGCGCGCGCGCGCACTCGCTGAACTTCGACGAGTACTTCTCTTGCTCGTGCTGAAACCACAATGGTACTTTTATGACAATGTTTCATACTTTCTCATGATGAACAAAAAATTAGTGTCGACATTTGGTCATCTATAGAAAAGTTGCTTGAAAAAATGCGATCATTTTCTATAACTAAAAATAATATTACAAAACGTGGCGGTACCTGGGCCTTTAGCCAAACGCCATTTTAGCGCTTGTCTACAGAGAAAGTAGAAAACTAAATGTAAGAGGATGACACTGACAGTGTCAAAATTTACGTCAATTCCATATAATTTGGTTTTTCATTCTACATGTACACAAGCGCTAAATGACATTTGGGTACAGCTGCAGCTTTGATAACTGTCATCGTAACATAGATCCGAAAATAACGACAAAAACTAACAATTTTTCTGAACTTAGAGTATCTTAGCGACGCTCACCCGTGCCCCCAGATTTTAGTTTAATTAAAAATTTAAAAAAAGTTACATTTTAGTGTACTTGAAACCAATCACCAAAAAAATACAATCAAATTGCAACAAAAAACCTTCAGCTCTTTCTATTTTAAACTATTTATAAAGACTACAACTATTTAAACTAGTCTTTAGTTAGTATAGTCTCTAATGTATTTTGTTTTTTGACATTTGTTAATATAGATTTAAGTTATGATGGAACTGGCGTGAACTGTGTTCATAAGTTTCTAAAAAATAAAAGAATTAAAAAAAAACATTTTACACACGAAAATACACTAACTTTAACCCTCCTATCGACCTCCTCCCGCTTGACCTTCTCCTTGCGCGCGCGGAAGGGGGCGCGGCCCTCGATCATCTCGTACACCAGGCAGCCGAACGAGAACCAGTCCGGGCTGAACGTATACCTCTCGTTGTCTATCACCTGCAATTTATAATAGTAATACGTTTAACATTTTTTGAAGAGTATGAGTGCAGATTGCTTCAATCTTATTAATTCTTACTAATATTATAAATTAGAGAGTTTGTTTCTTTGTTTGTTTGTTCCGCTTTCACGCCGTAACTACTAAACCGATTGCTTTGTATTTTTGCAGACGTAAAGTTAGAAGTCTAGATTAAATTATAGGGTACTTTTTATCCCGGACAAATTTGATATTCCAGAGGGAAAACAAAAGTACTGGTATAGATGGCGCTGTGTATATTGGTATGTCACATAGGCTACTTTGTTATCCTTTTGTGATGCGAGCGAAGCCGCGGGTAAAAGCTAGTTTGCAATAAAGCTAGAAACTCAATAAAAAAATTGTCCTTTTAATTATAAAAAAAAAATTATTATTATTATATATTGCTATTCTTATAAGGGATCGTTTTCATGTGCCCAACTTATGATTAAGGGCTTCGATAGGACTTGAAAATAACGCGCCTAGATCCTGACTGAAGGCTCCGATCGGACTCGAAAATAGTCGAACTGCCCCGTAATTCCCCGGGTTGACGTGACATTATTTGAATGAACATTATTTAATTTAACACCATGATAATTGAATAGCTCAATGATCATTAGATATAAGAAAAAAAAACTAATAAAAAGATTTGAAGCCACATACCTCGGGTGCCATGTACCCGACAGTCCCGACGCGGCCCCTGACACTGCCCCCCTCGGGCACATCCACGGCCAGCCCGAGGTCCGAGATACGCACGTGGCCCGCGTCGTCCAGCAATATGTTCTCCGGCTTACAATCCCTGGAAATATTACAAATTCTGTAAATATTATCATCATCGGGTAAGTGCCTACTGCTGAGCAAAAGTCACTTCTCACACGGAGAAGTTATACGTAACTACTCACAGCGTACTTATCAATTAGATTGTATTATAGAGATGGGATAGAAAGTCTCTTTAAAGATTTGTCTGCGAGCTACTACTGGCACATTTTTTATAACGAGACAACGAGATTGGTGACCAATATGTGCATTATGTTTTCAACACAAACATAAGAATGACGATCACTAGAAAAGACTGAAAAAAAAAATCAAGTTTTCTAAATAGTTAATAGTTTTTAAACAAACAGTAGTGTACCTGTAGACGATGCCCATCTTGTGTAGATGCTCGAGGCCGCACGCGACCTGCGCGGCGTAGAAGCGCGCGCGCTCCAGGCCCAGCCCCGTGTCCGCGCCGCACATGTTGTAGATGTGGAACTTCAGGTCGCCTCCTGGACACCACGGTACAAATTTCACACTACATGGTAACATGGACTAAACTAACAATAAGGCGGCAAGACACTCATAAAAATTGTAAGTCCGCTGGTGTTGAAGGTGTCTATGGGCGATGCTGATTGCTTAGCGTAGTGGTAGTCCAACTGCTTCTGCTAGCAATATTGCTTAAGGGAAAGGGATCAAACGTTTTAGCTGAAGGTAAGTCAGATCAGCACCACTTAAGACGACCTGCCGAGTCACAACTCACAAATAGTTGTGGGAGAGCCATGCTTCGGCACGAATTGGCCGGCTCGACCGGAGTGATACCACGGCCGAGCAGAAAACCGACGTGAAGCAACACTTGCGTTGTGTTTCGTCGTATAAGTGAGGTTACCGGAGGCCCAATTACCTTCCCCTTACCCAATCTCCCCAATCCCTGAATCCCCAACGATCCTCAAACTCCTAATCCCCAAAAAGCCGGTGACGCACTTGTAACGCCTCTGGTGTTCCAGGTGTCCATGGGCGACGCCAATTGCTTACCATCAGGTGATCCGTATGCTCGTTTACCGGCTTATGCTGTAAAAAAACTGCCATTCAAGAGGCGAGGGAGTTTAGGTCTTCGAACCTTAAATTTACTGAGTGATATAAAACATGATAATAACCATTCATAATAGTGAGTACTAAACACAGCGCGTCCTTTGTTTCGTACGCGTACGCGAGGTTGACGACGAAACGCGAGTTGATTCGCTGGAGGATCTGCTTCTCAATCAGCACCATGGCCTCCCCCTTGCGTTTCTTTATGCGTTTCTTCTCCAACTTCTTGCAAGCGTACATCTTGCCTGTCGCTCGGACCTGGAACGAGATATATTGGATTATTTTAGAAGCTTCTTAATTTTTAGAAATTCTTCTTGAAAAAGAATGTAACAGGCAAAACTTTGTCCCACACTGGGATTTTCTCCTGTGTCGTGGGTGCGTTTACAAACATACAAGTTCACATACACATGACACACAGACCTGGAACAACAATTAGTGGATCACACAAAGACTTGCTCCGTGTGGGAATCGAACCCGCGACACGTTGCGCGGTAGCCAGTTGTCCAACCAAAACAACCGTGCAGTCTTGACCTATTGACCTATTATCTTGAGTATTGTATTATTGACAAATTTACCTATACCTGTATATAAAATCGCTGACACTATATTATAAAACGAACTATTTTATCTACTAGGACTAATTAGTTAATAACAATTAATTCCACTAACTGGTGGCTAAATAACAAACGCACACCTTGTTTCGGAAACTATTAGAATCGTATCCTGCCTTCTACGTTGGCAAGGGCCCAACTTAGTGGACCTCATGTAAACAATGGTTACATATTTACTAAGGCTGAAAGTTAGCAACCATCACTCTTTGGTGACATAATATTTACATGATTGATCGACGTCGTGAGGTGTCCTTGAGAGTTGGCAGGATAATTATTAGGAAGAAAAATTCTCGTTGGCTTGTATTTTTCAAAGAATCTACGAGTCTAGTCTTCTTTTATAGACCTTATGGTATCTTCTTGCCATTAACTACAAAATATTTCTAATTTAATAAAAAAAGACGATGAGATTACTGAAAAAAGAGACACGAAACGAATATTTCAGGAAATATTCGGAAAAAGAACTAGTTATTAAGGTTTCTCTTTGCTATTACAAAACTAGTTGAATACAAAAGCGCACTAATTAAAAGGGTCATGTAAAATAATGCTCCCGTTCGGTATCAATAACCGGGAATCCATTAAACTCCGCATTGTCGTTTAGCAGAGCAGAACCTTCCAGAATATTACTTCGAAACCGACGATCAAGCAACCCATTTCACTCGAAACTTGGAAACTCGAGGGGAGAGGAAACACTGCGACAAGGAAATCTATTAACCAACTTAATAATTGTTCTCTAAGAGTTCTCTATACACAATTTAGAAGTGATGTTATTGGTGGTCTAGTGGGGAGTTGTGGCCGGTTGAAACACGAGTAGTAGATGTACTTAGTCCAATGACAAATTGTCGGGTTAGAGTATTATCGTATAATAATATTTTATGTTGTGCTCGAGGTTCTTTAAACAGTGTACTTTTGTAGTCCTCTACGCTTTTTTGAGGAAGAAAATCATCCAATGATTTCTCCCGCCCGGGTGAGGCGAGAGGGAGTGTCAGACTCTTACTGACTTAAATGCTTGTGTTGTGTTTCGTCGTGTGAGTGAGGTTACTAGAGGCCCAATTACCACTCTTCTCCAATCCCTGAATCCCCAACAATCCTCAAATTCCTAATCCCAAAAAGGCCGGTAACGCACTTGTAACGCCTCTGGTGGTCCAGGTGTCCATGGGCGACGCCGATTGCTTACCATCAAGTGATCCGTCAGCACGTTTACCGGCCTATACCATAAAAAAACCATTAAGTTCTCCACTGCTCCATAGTCCTCTACGCTTAAAACTGTATTTAATACCACTAAACTAAGCACATCCTATTTCTAATTGTCCTAGTTGGTAAATGTTGGCCTCTTTTGCAAATACATCTATTTCATAGTATAAAATTAAACCTAGTAGCTTTTTAACTAAACCTTTTGTACTCTCCAAAAAAAAGTGTTCTACAAAATAATAGGTCTGTAAACTGCCACTGCGTTGAAAAAGATGCATTGATTGCATCGGTGATTACGTCGATTAATTCAAATAAGAAAATATAGATAAAAAATTCGTTAAAATTTTTGGCTACAACAAAAAGGGGGTTTCATAAGTATAACAAAACTGCAAGTTCCCACTAACCTGACAAGCGCAGACCTCTCCGAAGCCTCCCTTGCCGAGGACCCGGTACATCCTGAAGGTGTGCTGCGTGACCGGCTGCGCCTCCAGCCACTTCCACTGCAGGTAGCGGTGGAAGTACATGGAACGCTCGAACTCCGCGAACGGAGCGCCCGCTAGGAAACTCTTCACGCATCGCACGCATTCTATGAATATGTCTTTAGCGCCGGCTGGAATCACAATGACGAATAATGTAACTAAAATTGTCGGTAGAAAAATGTGTGCTGGTGGTGTCAGGTTCGATTCCCGGGTCGGGCAAAGTCGAGTACCGTCATTATAGACAAAATTACAGAACAATAGGTTGCGGTCACCGGTGACCGCTTGGTGTTTGACAGTTTAATTGTACAGTGGAATTAAGTGCCGTAATGTGCACCTCTGCCTACCCCTTCGGGAATAAAAGGCGTGTTAAAGACGTTATCTAAGTTGCTATATCAAAAATATATTAGATTATTGACAAAGAGCTAGTTATTAATAAATATAAAAGACATAGTTTTAATCCGATTCGACTAGCATTTAAATCTAGACACAAAATAGCTTCCACAGACATTTATACTAACATCTATTTTTCAGGCCATTACGCCAAATCTGGACTAATCTACAAAGGTACAGCAGTTTTTAATTTATAAACATTTTAAATCACTTCCTACCGTAACAAATTAAGGTCCTTTTATACGCGATCGGGAACATGACGGCCTTTTAGAGATTTTATCAAAAATCGTTAATGGTCTCATCGATTATGAACCGACCGTCATTAGACACGTTCTAAGCCAGACAGCTTCATTGAGCAGTGTTTAGCATACTTAGGACTTGTTTTTTACACTTATTCTGACGCATTATTTATTAATAACTAAGCTAGAAAATAGATCAAGAATGTACTGAGAAGGGACTTATAGAAGTTCGCATTTATCCTCTTGAGACCGTGGGTACACATTATGTGCACCTATAACTTATTCAAGCTAAAACTAGTAGCGACGTCTTTTGACAGCGTTTAGTAATTGAATAAGATATTATAGATTCCAGAGTTTCATAGAGCCCACGCTGAAACCTAAGGTACTCATATGTGCACCGACTATTTTATTAATTATATTAATAAAAAAAAATAACAAAAAAAATTGCGTGTCTTATTTATATCCCTATAATTACAATAAACCACAAAAAACATTATTATCATATTTGGTATAAGTTCAGGTCTTAAGAGGTTGGTTTTCGGAATTTACGAACATGTCGTTGAATTCGGTGAATTTTACTTCTTTATGGAATCAACTGCCAATTGGCAACATGTTTAATAAATAACAACAATTTTCAGGCTTTGGAATGATTCTAATCGTGGCTTTGGGATTCTTTTTAGTGATCTTAATTCCCTATAAGTACAACAGACCGTAAGCACAGCTTAACCTCTTGTCTTAGATCTGTACTCCTGCAGACTAAAGCTGAACCTATATTAACAATTACCTAAGATCAATCTTATCGACGACAAAGACGTCTAAGATCAATTATTGTTTTCGGCTAACTCACGTAAGTGTTTGAAAAGGAACTTGACTAGTTTAGCAGCGCGCGACAGCCGCCGCGTCGCGCGTTGCGGAATGCTGCTCAAGAATATGAGCCTCTAGGACTTTTTTTTTTTTTTAAGGGGGGAAAATCATCGAATGACTGCTCCCGCCTGGGTGAGGCGGGAGGGAGTGTCAGACTCTTACTGACTAAAAACCACCCCGTTCCTTCTCCTGCACGTCGAGCCGGAGCCCCGGTTACCCGTTAGGTTCTCCGCGACAGCCTCTAGGACTAGGATGGCTTGAAACTAGCCGAGTTCCTCGTTAAAAAGTTACGTGAGTACGAAACCGAAAACACAATCATCAACCTCCAAGATCATTATTTCTACATGCTGGAGCAATTGGTCAACTTCAACAACAAACAAACCTATCTTAGATTCCTCACCATCAATAGTAGCGCTGGCTTCATCGATGACCTGTCGGCTGACGACATCGGTGACAGCCTCGCAGTCATCAGTCTTCAGGTACCTGCCGAACACCTCGGCCGCGAGCATCGCACGCGTCTCGTCCACTTCCACCTCATACCTGTCTGTCTGCAAGCAAAACTATAGACCTTCGAACATTGATGTTTATCTTGGTAGATGAATTGATTCAAGGATACAATTAAGGGCTGGTTTCAATAAAATCTTTTTAAATATGAGATAAAATTTTAATTTGAGCTAGCTAGGATGGTAGCAAATGCTGATGGCATTAGGTCATTTTATATGCAACTGTATCTAAGGAATAAATAGATAATATGAGTTCCATACAAAATGTGTTAAAATTCTATCTCTGGTAAATAAAACTACAGATAAATAAAAAGATTTTATAGAAACCGAACTCAGATATTTATGGAAGTCTGTTGAAATGGATCATGAGTGTGTACTATTGTGTACATCTATAAAGTTTATTTTTCAGTAAAAAATCTTTAAAGAATAGAATTGATGAAAAAGTATCTAAATGATGCAATCGTTAGCGATACGATAGATATGTACATTTTAGGTGCAAAAATGTGTAAAAAATTGATTTACAATTTTATTGTTAAAAAACGTTGCTCCCACACTAGGATTTTGTCCTGTGTCGTGGGTGCGTTTACAAACATACAAGTTGACATGCAGATCACACTCAGACCCTGAACAAATCTGTTGATCACACAGAGTTGTTCCGTGCGGGAATCAAACCCGCGAAACGTTGCGCGGCAGCCAGTTGCCCAGCCACCGCACCAACCATGCAGTCAATATTGAGTTGGATACACAAAAATAAGCTTTGCAATTATATTTAAAAATCAGACATTTATACTAAGTTTCAATCACAAAGTATTCTACAAGACATTCTATTTATTACGAAATTTTGACGAAACCGAAAGTTCAAAATCGCATCAGTAACCTTTTGCAATTTGAACTTTACAATTTCGATTAACCTTTAAATCAGCTAAAAATTGCACACACATAAATAACATAGTCATAACAAAAATCATGGCAATACGAAAAGAAATGGCATATCCAAAGTCGGACACAATCTCGATTATGGAGGACGGGACAATGTCGAACAATCAAACAATATGTGCATGTTTCTGCCTTTATATGGCAACGGCTTTCATGTTTTCGGTATGTGGCGATTCGGGAATGACCACATCTGAATATAGCGTATCGATTCCATACCACAAACCGAATACGATCAAACATTCTTTTTAGGTCAGTATTCGTATATATTTGTGTGATTCGTTGGTTTTCTTGCCAATTTAGTTTTGATATTATGCAAAGGTTGGCTTTCTGAATGTTCGAATTTGGCTGCTGCGTGTGATAAATTGACGATGTGAATAATCTCATTTGTTTAGGAGTTTTTACAACCTAATTTATTATCGATCTAAGAAAGTATGGATAAATTATGTGAAAGATTATATAAATAAATGATACAGCAGTTAAAAGAAAGAGATGAGATAAGAGACAAATCTAACAAGCAAGCAATAAGTCGATTATAAACATAGATTCCATGTCATGGAAAGAAATAAAGATGTTAAAATTATTTCATTAATGTCGATGTTCCATACAAATGGAATTAGGACTTGAACACGTAGCTATAACTTGAGAACATATTAAAAAACTGGAGTACCGTGTTGTACCTTAACCTCTGGTGTGTTGGAGCGTGGATCTACGCGACACAGTGTGTTTATATTGTGCCTCATATCGACAGATGAGAGGTTAAGAAATTAAGAACAAAATAAAGAAAATAATGAGTACATAGGAATGTAATGATTATTAAAAATGCCGGTTTACGCGACAACGTCACTGCATATACTGCAAGGAAGAGTCCCAGTGTGACATGAAACTAGTTGAGCTTTTCTCGATGTCTACTTGAGTAACCGACATTTCTAATTAATTTAGTATCACGATGGTTATTATACAAATAATGAGTAGGTACTTACCGCATCTAGAAAGTTATTGTACTTGTGATACTGAGGCCTGTTCCTCTCGCAGAACTGCCTGAATAGCAGCTTGCCTATCGGCTGCTGATCTACTACGTAGTCGTAACCTACATCTGAAACAAAGAAACGTTAACATTAATACAATGGGCATAGAGATTAGTCTAAAGTGGAACAAGACATGTTCCACAGGTTTTTAGGAAACTTAGGGAAAGTCTTTGTCCAGGGGAGTCTTGAGAATGATTACGACATGAAATCGATTGGTTATTGTGACTTTTAGCCCCAGCCCTAACCTATTGTCGCGGAGACCCTAATGGGTTACCGGGGCTCCGGCTCGACGTGCAGGAGAAGGAACGGGGTGGTTTTTAGTCAGTAAGAGTATGACACTCCCTCCCGTTTCACCCAGGCGGGAGCAGTCATTCGATGATTTCCGCCTTAAAATAAAGCCCTAACCAATTGAAATAAAACCTCATGATTCATTTTACTTCCAAAGAGATAGGAAACAAACTATTGCACATGTTGTCTGATAGAACAGTTCCAATAAATATGAAAAGGTTCTCAAATCATTTAAATGCAATATATTAAAGTATGAAGAATTCTTTTCAATTTTTTAGAATTCTAAATACCCCATTACGATTCTTAAAATCAATAGGTTTATTTTTTTCGGAGGGGGTAAATGATCCAATGACCTCTCCCGCCCGTATCAGGGCGAGTGGGAGTGTCAGACTCTTACTGACTAAAAACCACCCCGTTCCTACTCCTGCACTTCGAGCCGGAGCCCTAGTAACTCGTTAGGTTCTCCGCGGCTCCGTATAGGCAACAGCCCTATTGGGCCCCATCTGTGGTGGTTTGATAGCTCTTTGAGAAAATCAATAGAAGCATCGCATAGCACGAACCAGTTACAAGAAATTAATCAGAACCCTACTTGCGTACCTACTACAAAGATCTTTAGTATCATCAACTTGAAACTTTGAGTTCAGTAATCAAATTCACCCGAGGGTCTAGTCTAGATAGTACAAGGCAACATGTCTAAGTATTGCCTGAGGGCCTGTCTGGGAAGGTCGACTCTAGACTAAGTTTTTGCGAAATCCATTCAGGCATATCTAAGTGATTGTTCTGTCGTAGGATAGCTAGTACCAAATTGTTGTAGACGTATAAACGCAAATATGGGTACACATATAAAAAAAAACTTATTTCAAAATCGGGACTTTAAATGAAGATATTAAAATGGAAAAAGTATATTTCTTTAGACCGTATAAAACGAAAATATCGATATAAACTTATGAATACGTCACTTATCACAAGCTTATATCTACAATACTTTACATTATTTTTTACTAATAGGCTACTATTCTGTAACTTTCAATTTGAAAGATCAAAGTAAACTTGACCGCGGTCCGTCATATCATTGGTTGTAAAAATAATCTTGACCAATGACGGGCGAGAATGCTATAGAGCTAACATCGAAAATTCTAATTGACAGTCACAGAATAGCCTAGCTGAATCAATCACTTTATCATCATCTTTATTATTTGGGACAAGCCCGCCACAACCTCCCAAAAGCGTTGCAACTCCTGTAAACCAGGATCTACAGTAGATACAACCATGAAAACACCGGAACACTGAAGTCCGGCGCGTCCCAGGGACATGAATAATTGTCTTGGTTCCCGCAACGAAGTGAAACACAAGAGATAAGAGAAGATTAATTCATCCACTCGTCGCTCACTCTTCTGTCATATTCACACCACTGCCCACAACAAACCAATATCTTAAAACCAATCCAAAGATAGATTCCCTATTCCGAGAAAATCAGTTCCAAACTCTAATCCCTTAGTTTATCATGAGACTGCAATATTCCGTTATCTCAGACTTGCCGATCGATTGCTCCCTAATAACTTGAATCCCAAATAGAGATCTGATTAACTGGTTTATTTCTATCGTGGATCTTAAATAGAGATCTTATTAATGAGAATATTGATATTGGTTATGTTTGCTTCGTAGATTAGGGTTAGGGCTAGTAGTGGGCCTGATATAACGGGAGTGGTAGGTCTTAAGTTTATTTTGGTAGGAAAATATGTTCGTGTGATTAGGTGGTAATAAGTTATTGTGTGGAACGAAACTTTTCTTTAGTTATTTGATTAATGTTATACTGGGACAGTAAGTACTGTTGGTAAACCTAATTTTTTTGGAAACTAGGTCAATAAAAGTTAACAGGATGACGTCAAAGTCAAAAGTCAAAGAATTTATTTCAATCAACCCTTAATTAGGCACTTTTATAACGTCAAAAATTCAATTATCCGTCCGTTTGTCTATCAGTGAAGCAAGACGCTCGTTCCAAAGTGTAGTTTCGAATGGAGAAAAACGAGGAAGAAACTCCATCGTTACTCGTTTAAAAAAATCTTTTTTACACTCCCATTGATGATACAGGAACATGCGTATACGTAGCGAAATTGAACACCTTTTTTGACCCACAATTGAACGTTCATTCTAATTAATTAACAAATTAAATGAAGAAACAATTTCAGTGATGGTTAGTGGTACCAATAAAAAGATCAAAACCGTTGTTATCCAAGCCTAAAACAAGACAATTCCATTAAGTGAACCCATAATCAAAATACCCCCATAACAATACAACATAGAACAAAAACAAAATATCAGAGAACTATAAACGATATCACAAAACTATCGGGAACAGAGAGAGATATAATAAGAAAACACACAAACAAACACACATACATAATGCAGAATGCCTCACAAGTATAGGGAAGGGTCCTAACAACAAAAGTAATATCTTGTAGCGTTAGGGAGCCGGAGTTAGGCGCTGAAGGTCTGAGCCGTTATGAAGATTTGTGTTGGCCAAAGAAATTGGAATACATTCTGGCCATAGCGTCTGATTGTCTCTTCCTTATATTGGTTTAGTTTTGAAAGTAATCTTGTTAAGTTTTTGTAGAAGCTACCGGATTATACTAAGTTTGTAAGGACTATGGTGGCAGGATATCTTTTGGATAATTTCTTATTTACACCTTATTTACCCATCGTATTGAATCAGAGCTGCAGACAAGCGCAAGGATTGCTGTGGTTCGAAGCAGAAATATGAACATGGTGGTTTTAGTCAGTAACAGTATGAGCCTCTCGTCTCATATAGGGCGGGAACAGCCAATTGTTGATGTTCCCGTATAAAAAGCCATCATATTTGACTTCATTTATAGCCAGTCAATATTTGACTACAAGACTGTTATGGAACGTTTAGTTAATATCATCCACTGTTTTAATTAATCCTCCCGATCCAGCCCAAACATGGACTTCAGTAAACTCATATACGACTGTTTACCCACAACAAGCTACATCGCAAGAAGCAATGATTTCAGTCGCGTTTGCTTCTGTGTCTGTGTTTTCATTCCTAATGAATGTATTGTTGCTCTTCAGAGCTGTACTAATTTATTGTTTACAATCATCATAGATATTATTGTAAACAACAGACATGTAGTTCTGTTCGTACCTAATTTGGGCCTAGATTACATAGTCATACAGGTGTATTTTAAATTTTGACCAAAGTAGCCGTTTTAGACACTGGATTATAGAAATTCCGCACTTATTTAGACAGTATAAAGAACATCAAGGTTTTAATTTCTTCGAATTATGAACGATTTTAATTTGTTGTTTCGTTTTTCTCTAAGTGATTGTATATATAGGGCACCGTTTAAAAAAAAACCAATGAATATACAAAAAATTGTATAAGTAGTGTTTTTTTTTAAGGGGGGAAAATCATCGAATGACAGCTCCCGCCTGGGTGAGGCGGGAGGGAGTGTCAGACTCTTACTGACTAAAAACCACCCCGTTCCTTCTCCTGCACGTCGAGCCGGAGCCCCGGTTACCCGTTAGGTTCTCCGCGACATATAGTGTTTAGATTTATAGTGAGCAAAAATGCTACTGGACATAGAAAACCTGGGTACGAAGCACACAAACTCGAAGACAACAACCACAGACCATCTTCCCAGTCATCCTTCGCAGTCTCCAAATCTTCAATCTACATAAATCCTCCTAACAAAAAGTTAATCTTAAAGCCCAAACGGACATTGTTTTACGGTCACGTTACGAAGTTAGGTTAGAAAGGAACGCGGAATAATAAACAATGGTTAGAGGCGCCATCACTTACACTGGTCCTGCGTAGCACATCCATTGTATGATTATCTTTCTTCATCCCGTACTATATTACGAGGAAAGCTTTGGGATATAAATTAAGAAATGACCAACGGCTGTGGTGTGATAAAGTTATCCTGTTTGTTGTGTGTATAAAGAATGTTTTTTTTTACTGTTCCTTCGAGATTGAAGTACAACTGGAACTTTTTTTATGGGATAAGCCGGGAAACGAGCAGACGGATCTCCGGATGGTAAGCAATCGGCTTCTCGCCCATGGACACCTGAGGCGTTTCGAGTGCCTTACTGGCCTTTTGAGGATTAGGAATTTGAGGATTCTTGGGGATTCAGGGAACACAAAGCAAGCATTGTTTCACGTCGGTTTTCTGTGAAGCCGTAGTATCACACCGGTCGAGCCGGCCCTTTCACACCGAAGCATGGCTCTCGTTTGTATTCTCTCTCTTCACGTTTTGTTATTTGTTCGTATTAAGTATTGAAAACAGAATTCATGTGTTTCATTAGAACACAAGTCAAAATGGTATGTAGATAAAGATTATAAATATTTGTATTGTAACTTTCGTCAAATTATTACGTGAATAAGCCGAAAACATAATAATTTATTATAAATACTAGCTTTTACCCGCGGCTTCGCTCGCGTCACAAAAGGATACAAAGTAGTCTATGTGACATATACCAATACATACAGCGCCATCTATACCAATACTTTTGTTTTCCCTCGGGAATATCAATTTTTTTCGGGATAAAAAGTACCCTATTATTTAATCCAGACTACTAACTTAACGTCTTAACGTCTGCAAAAATTCAATGCAATCGGTTTAGTAGTTACGGCGTGAAGTTGGAACAAACAAACAAACAAACTCACTTTCCCATTTATAATAGTAACTTAACTCTACTTAAGTATTCTTAACTCGAATATTCTCGTGCTAAACAATTGTACCTTTAATCTAACATCGAGCAA